ACTTTACACTAGGATACGAATTTTGATTAAAATTATTTATAATTGAAATGTTGAAAATTAAGGTGAGATGATTAATTCAGGGCGAGGGAAGTATTCTACCTTTAGATCAATCTACATCCTTCATTCTAAAATTTTCCTCCCGATTCAATTTACAAGATTTAACTAAAATTAAATTAAATTTATGTAATTATATGGGTAAAATTTAGAAATCAATTTTATATATTCAAAGCATATATATCATGCCTTAAAAATTTATATCAAAATTTCTATAAAATAGGACGAACTATATTATACTTCCCCCCTCCCAAAAAGAAGTTCTTAATAAATAGATAATTAAGACATACTTATTTTTTCTGCCTTATAAACATCTTATAAACACAGAGAAACATGTGACTAAGGTCCACATGTAAAGTATGGATTTTCACACAATTTTCATGGGTTAGCAAGTGGATCTTTTCTTTTTTTTAAGGCCCAATTTTCTTTTGACATCAATGCATTAAGATCCGTCAAATGAGCTTGGAGCTTAAAACCACGTAAAAATTTGTCTTCTTATATATGTGACATCATAAATTTAACATTTGTCATTTCATAATAAATAAAGGAGAAAGATTTTTAGAGACGGAGAGAGTACGTATTATTGATATATATCAAATAATAAAGAAAGGAAAAAGGTTTTCAGAGTGTCAATTCGACAACGTTTAGATCATATGTGCTTAATTGATACACCTTTGTGAAAATCTTGTAATGAGACCATAATATGCCCTTAGGCCTCCACAACGATAGTGTCCAATATCGACCAAAGCACCCTCAATAGTTTCAAATAGGTCTAAAAAGATCATACATAGTCCGGAGTGTCAATTCCCCAAAGTTTGGATCATATGTGCTTAATTTACCTTTGTGAAGATCTTTTAATGAAACCATACTATGCCCTCAGGCCTCCATATCGACTGTGTGCAAAATGGACCAAAACAACCTCAATAGTTTCAAATATGTCTTAAACGACTACACCTTGTCCGGGTGTCAATTCACCAAAGTATGGATCGTATGTGCTTAATGTGCCTTTATAAAGATCTTGTAATGAGACCATTATGCCCTCAGACCACCACATCTACAATGTCCAATATCGACCAAAGCACCCTCAATAGTTCCAACGCAAATAGGTCTAAAAGACCATACATTTTTCGGGGTGTCAATTCACCAAAGTTTGGATCATATTTGTTTAATGTACCTTTGTGAAAATATTTTAATGAGACCATACTATACCCTCAGAATATTTTAATGAGACCAAAATATTTTAATTAGACAATAATACATTGAGAAATAACATATATTTTAATGCTCTGATCCGTAGTATATAGTGCAAATTTCACATTGAGTAATTGTTTTGATCACTTATATTCTCATTTTCCGTATTCATATTAAGTAATATTCACACAAGGAGTGAGTTATAATCCTAGTGTATTAGAGAGTTTAATAAAAATTAAACTCTCTAATATACTCTCTATCTTAATATAGAAATGAGTTCACTAGATTTAACTTGTTTAAGGGCCTGTTTGGGAATAGCGTTAGAGATTAGCGTTAGCGTTTTGAATAAAATTTTAACGGTGCAGATTACTTTGAAAACGCTAAAGCTAAACGCTGCCCGTAGATAGCCTTTTCAAAACGCTAACGCTAATCGCTAATGCTAATCCCAAACAGGCCCTAAGAATTACTAAATTTTTGTAGTATTAATATGTAATATAAATTGAAAATAATTAATGATAAAAATTGTCATTGAATCAAATTCATTAGGCACTAGAATAGTACCATGTGAAGGCCGTTTTGTAGTTGGGGCACGGCAGCAGTATATATGCGCCAGCCTTCCTGACGCAGGCGGCGCAGGCTTCCGGCGAGAGGTCGCCGCGGCACATGAAAAGGCCGTAGGCGGTGTCGTTTCCGTCACCCGAGGTGGAGTTGTAGAAACCGTCGGGGCGGGTGGCGTTGGAAGTGAGGTCGGAGAGGAGGGAGTCGAGGTTGGATCTGAAAGTGCTGTTGGAGGCGTAAAACTCGGTGTTGTTGCACCAGAATGCGACGGGCTGTTGATCGGAAATTCCGGCGGTGGCCAGGAGGAAGAAGGCGGAGGAGGAGAAGAGAAAAAAGAGCTGGTAGCCTAACATGAAGAAGAAACGAGAAGCAAGAGAAATAATTTGGGCAAATGAAAAGACTATATATTTATCCGGACTTCCCAATTTTACCCTTAAGATTTTTTGGAAAAAAAGTATTTCAAATCATGAATAGTGATTAGTAATGTGAAAGAGTAATTTAAAAGTAAAAAATAATATTAGATGTGAGGTGAGAAAATAGGGTTAAAAAGAATATTATAGTCCATTTTGGAGAAATTAAAATATTTTATGGAACGAGCAAGATAAAAAATTGAAATATTTTGTGGGATGGATAAGGTATTAATGTTCATTAATTGGAAAATGAATAAATACAATTAACTATGTGAATAATGATGAGAAATTTTCATTAAGACAAAGAGCATGTGTGAATAATTCATTTAATAAAATAATACAAGTATAGTATTTCCACCTCTTCAAATTTCAATTAATATATTTTTAAATCATTTTTTATACATCCAACTTTAGTTAAAAATTACGGCCAAATAGACCTCCTAATTTGTTTCACTTTTCACTGCCATTTGACAATCAGCTTGAGAAATTGGTGTTATGTTGTGTTATGTCAAACTTTAATGAGTGCTTTGTGGAAAAACGATTGTCCCCTTTCAAATAAGATGGTATACGACAAATAAGTATCTAGTGAATTTTTTTAATTTGATTTTTTTGAATCAAATTAGATAAATTTTGAACATTAATTATTCTAAATTTAGATTACATATTACATTAGTACAATTTTAAAAAAATATTGAAAATTTCCAATTAGATAAATCTAATAAAAAAAGTTTTTTTCTAAAACAAAGTGCACATTTTCATTCAACCACCAATAAAAGTTTTTACTGATTAAACATTAAAGAAACACCAAAACTAGGTACACGACTTCCCAATTTTCCTCCTTTCCCAATATGTAATAATTTGGCTTAGAACCCAATTAAACATATCTTTTTCTTGAGTTCTTTATTTAGTACTCTCTCCGTCTTAAAACATTTTTTCCCGTTTGTATTTGCGATGTTTGACCGATTTTATTTTTAGTTTAACTTATTTTTTTTTGAATGCTAGTTTAACTTATTTGATTGTAGGTGTAAGATTAAAAAAGAAGAAAATTTATACATTTAAAATATAATTTACATCAAAAATTCTACAAAACAAGAGGTTAAAAACTATATTATTTTATCGAGTAACTAACAAAAATAGGTAAAAAAAGTGATTAAAGTTTAACCGTATGGATAATAACTATGAATAATGTTTTAGGATGAGGGAATATGATACAATCTATTTCGAGCTCTCCAAACACTATAACAGACTGCCGCATATGAGCTAGTAACTTGTTACCTCTTCCCACTTTGTTTATTCAGATTATCTCTTATCTCTTTCACACTCCTAACCTCAATCTTGTACTTCAGATTCATCTTTTATGATTATCAATATCCCCTTTATTTTATATATCTTTCATGGATCCATTTAACCCAAAGATTTATCTTATCCGTAGCCACATCTCACCAAGAGTACGTTGTGGATATAGGCTTTGTTTCATAACACCATTTTCCTCAATCCCAATCCTCCATAGGTTTTAGGCAAACAAACATCTTCGCAATTGACCAAATGTCTTTTAGTATAGTTGGCCGTATCCCCCCAAAGAAAGTTTTTACAAATACTTTGCACCTTCTGCATAACCTTAGTGGGGATAATAAACAACTTGCACTAGAAAGTCATAATACCAAGAAGTAATTTTAGAGGTGAATAGGTGATGTTGATTACTAACCTTTCACATTCCTTCCCACTGATTCTTGCAGGAGTTATAGGACTTTCCAATTATCTGATTGGTAATTCTCCAATGGGAAAATCAGTCATCTTTGAAAAACTATCTTGTGTCTTCTTGTGACTTTGTGTTGTTAATATTCAGCCCAGTAGTTATTTAAAATTTTTGCAGCACCTCCATAATACATTTAATGAAGTTGTCATTAGCCTTGCACACTATAATCAGATCATTTGTAAAATAAATTAATTCGTTTGAAAAATTTGCAAATAGGGTGGAAAATTAATTCGTTTGAAAAATTTGCAAATAGGGTGGAATGTAACCCCTGGTAAACCCTCATATCTCGGCCTGACCCGAAACGACCCTCACACCCCCTCCAATTGCATCCTACCAAAATTTGTTGACTTTGAAGTCAATTTGACTCCAAAATCAACTAAATTTTGTAAGATGTAATTGGAGGTGGTGGAAGGGGAGAGTCGTTTTGGATCAGGCCTAGATATGAGGGTTACGTTTATCGGGGGGTTGTGAGCGTAGGAATTATCAATTTTTCAAACAGAGCACCCTAGGTGTCCCAGGTCATCCTATGACATTGAAGTCCAATTTTACATGAACCAAAGTGTTAGACAAGGGTTAGAGGAAATATCACATTTATTTCAAACTGGACATCTTAGTCTTGTTACAAAAAAAATATATCTTAGTCTTGTAATTCTAATTACATTTGATGCAATTTTTAATCTCTAAATTGTGCATTTATTTATATTCCATCTCCAATTCCCAAATTATTTAGGAATATAATATTAAAAAAATGGGAACTAAAGATATAATTAGATAAAGAATAAAATTTAGGAAATAAGAATTGTGTGTGAAGTAATTGTAAATGCATAACTAAGATATTAAGTATGAAATAAGGACTATTTTAAAAATAAAAATTTTTGGAAAGATAATTTAAATAAAAATTACAGGGACAAAAAATAAAACTTACTTATTTTACAGAGACTAAAAATATATTTAATTTTTTAGTAAAATAAATATTATGATCACATCTTTATCAAATTATAGACTTTTCTAAAATATACTGCACTGTAAATCCCTCTCACCAAAAGCACCAATTTTTTGGTAGAATTAACAGTCAACGACGGCTAAAGGATGCAACCGTCATTTTACATTTCAAGCTACCCGTCCTTCCCGATCTTCTGAAACAGAATCAGAATCTCATTTCCGGCGAGACGCAACAAAGGAACGACGACGGCAATGGCGCGAGCAGCTTGGGCGGCGGAGATCCGCTGGTCGGCGCTCACCGTTGCTCTCGTTCTATCTTCTCTGATCCGGCCTTCGATCTCAATATATTGCGACGAAGACGACTGTTACGATCTCCTTGGGTGATTTCCATTTTCTCTCCTTTTCTCTACTTCGAAATCTAGCCGATGACATTTATTTCATAGTTTTTCTTAAATTTATCGTATACTCTAATTTCAGAGTCTCTCAGAATGCCAATGCGTCTGAAATTAAAAAGGCTTACTATAAGCTGTCACTGAAATTGTAAGTTTTCTTGTCTCTAGCATTTATTCCCTGATCTTTTAACTATGTATACTTTCGAAGTTATTAATTACGAGTACTTTATTTTTTTCGTAGTCATCCAGATAAAAATCCGGATCCAGAATCAAGGGCGAAGTTTGTAAAAATCGCGAATGCCTACGAGGTATGGAGTAATTAAGTTTTAACTCTGATTTTTTGTTATTTCCCCATGTAATGGAGTATGTACTTGTTTACAATGGTAAGCCTGTTGATTATTGTGCATTCAGTATCATATACAGAGTACAGTATTTTATAAAATATTTTTGAAATGATGTGGTACCCAAGAAAAATAGGAGTTTTTTCCTCTTTTCATTTGGTTGAGGAAGGATGAGATCTAGGTTATGATAAAAGTAAAAATGTTGTGGGCTCCTATATGCTTAGTCATGTCATGGAAGGGTAATGTGAGTAGAAAGCAGCAAAATGCATGAAATTCTTAGAATGCCTTAGAAGCTCCTTAGTAGTGAATGTAGAATCTCATTTATCAATTATCAGTACATAAATGTCCTAAAGATTTGCAGAATATAGGAAGGTATATGTCCAGTTTTGTTTAGTATTATAAATGCATGATGGTTGTTTAGAAAGCCTCAATGATTGCCAAATGGGTCTCATTCTTCAATGAAGAATATGGATGTAAAAATCTGCAGTATCTACTATCTGGTGTGAGACAAAAATGAACCAAGCCACAATCCTTAAATGTATATAGAGCAACAATTTATTATCAATCAATTTGTATTTAATTATTTCATTCAGCATATCTTTTATTCATTGACCAATTGTTACTGTGTTTGACCAATAAGTTGGGGACGGGAGAAACTTTGTCTTCGTTGGGGGCACCAAACAACATTTATCTTTTCTTGCAGATACTGAAAGATGAAGCCACAAGAGAACAGTATGACTATGCTATTGCCCACCCCGAAGAGGTTAATATCTATTCCCTGCTGTACTGCTTATGATACCATTATATGAACTAATGATGTTGGTGTCTACTGCTTTATGTCTCGTATGTCATACTCTTATTTTGGTACCCAAAATCATTGAACTGTGTGCTACTTCAATTATGTTAAGATGCCACTCTTCTTCCTGTGATCTTTGTTGCACTATTTCGTTTTCAATGAGGGGGCTGTCAAGAAAATGATTTACATGGGGTTAGAAGTTTGTCTTGATGATAGGAAAGTTGCCTTTTTAAACAGGTTTATACTTTTGTGTTTTGAGTAATTCTGTAGTTGAGTATTCTCTGAATGTCTCAAGAATATGAGGAATTGTCTTCATATTGCCCTACATATTAATGTCTAAATAATTGATGAAGCTGTGGACAATAAAATGATGCCTTTTCTTTGTTAGGTATTCTACAATGCAGCTCGATACTACCATGCATACTATGGCCACAAAACTGTAAGTGTCATCCATCATCATCCTGTCCTCCTCCATGGTTTTTTTCACAGTATTAATTTAGTAACCTGTTTAACTGTTTTTCTTTTATTTCTTTTTCCTTCTAAAGGATCCTCGTGCCGTCCTTGTTGGTCTTCTTTTGATTCTCTCATTATTTCAATATCTTAATCAGTGGACAAGGTACAAGCAGGTATTCACATGCATTTCAGGTTCAATATACTGTACAATGTGAATGTGGCCGTAAAGTTTCAAATGTTCAATGGAAAGCACATCTTGATTTTCGCTGGTAAATAGAGAATAAGCATTAGTGTTAAAAAGTAAAAACTGAGTAGTTAAATTTTGTTTAGAAGAAATAGGAATGGTTGTGAGCCGCACATTCTTTACATAGAAGGTAATGAGAAAGGTGTGAAGTTTATTTTGGGATGGATGGAAAAGAAAAGTGTGAATTTATCTTGGTATGGATGGAGTATAAATTGATGCTTCTACATTTCTAAGTAGTGGTTTGTTTGCATTGCTTGGGTCTCTAACTCTACAGTTTAAACAGAGATGCTCTTGGTGTGTCCATCTTGTAACCATTTTTTCTTGTGCTCATCATTGGGAACATGGAAAGGCTAGGGAATGAAAATAGGAAGGGAAGTGTAGGAGAAATTTGGAAGGCAAGAAGATGTGTGTGGGATAAAACAATGGTTCAAAGTTCAAACATACTAAATTTTTTTATTTGTTCAAACTCATTTTTTCTATCAATTTCTATTGTTAAGACTAAGAAATATAAGTAGTAAGTAGTAACATTTTTATAAATATTAGTCAAATATCGATATTCACTTAGCAATTTATCTTTTTTCCCTATCATTTGGTGGGGTTAAAACATACCCATAATGGCGGCAAATTTACTTGTGCACTTGTTTCAGGCTATTGACACGGTCAAGAAAACACCAGCTTACAAAAATAAGCTACGTGCTTTGGAACTTGAACGCAGTGGAGGTGTTACAAGTAGAAAGAAGAATAATAAAGCTATGGATAAGTATGATGTTATTTATAGTCAGCAAACCACCTTGAAAATGTTACTTTATGTTCTTCCGCCATGCAATATTTTTGTGCCAATAGATATCAATGTATATTGGTCCGGCTCATGTATTTGATTGTGTGTAATCAGCTGAGTTTTTTACATGTGTGACAGGAACATGGAGGAAGAACTGAGCAAGGACCTTAATCTGCAGATAAAGGGAGCTGAAATACCATCAATTTGGGAACTTGTTGGTGTTCGCTTTTTGCTCCTTCCTTACACTATTGGAAAGGTTAGCTAGTATGCTTATTTAATGACATGAATCTCCGATGGAGCCAAAAATGTCTTCGCTTGTTTTAATAGTAAAAGTTGTAGTTAGTCAGGGCAACTTAGCTCAAGTTTTAAAGATAGGGGTTAGGCTGCTTACATCTACCCCGCCCTGCAATGGGTGGGCAGCCTTTGAGGCACTGGGGTAATGTTGTTGAAAAGTTCTCGGTTTCAATCAGTGCTCAGATAAATACTCCGTCCCCAAAAAGAGTTGTTTGACAAAGGCAAAACGTTTAGTTTTTGGCAAGGTACAACTGTTATAAGTCATAAATCATCTCAGTTTAAAATTGTTTTTGATATCTTAGCTAAATCAATCATTTTAAACTTGCTTAAAAAAATCATGTTTTTGGAAAATTTTTGTAGAAAAACTATTTTCAATTGATCAACTGCAACAGAATAGGCTGTTGAAATGGTACTCTTTTTATGGGATTGGGGAATATATAAAGTTTTTTTCACTTTTCACAAGAGACTTTAAGTTTATAGAGTATAAGCTTATAACAATGTCGAATTGTCAATCTTCTAAAAATATTTAGGCACAAGGCTGTGGCCAAACTTTGGGCCTAGCGCTTGGGTTGGTTAGACGATGACTTCAAGAAGTGTAATATTAGAAGTTTTGATGTCAATACATTAAGATGTGAGATTCTCTATTTGTAGCTTCTGTTGTGGTATGGCTGTTGGTTCTGGAGGTACAACGTCAAAAGAGCTCCATACTCTTGGGAAGATGCTTCTTATTTGACTCGAAGATCTCTAGGCGTTTCTTTTGATTCGTGGAGATTCATTGGTAAGATATTCATTACAACCTAGTCACATTCTTTGAATATACATTTAGGCTGTGTTTGGAACATGGCAAATGACAGGGAAATGAAAATAAATCTGAGGAAAATGTTTTCTTAATTTTTGGTTTCTTGAAAAAGAGGGGAAACAGATCAAAATTGATTGATTTGGTATAAAATTTACTCCCTCTATGGCTCTATCCCATAATTAAGTTCACTATTCGACATCATGTTTATTTTGAAAAGACGTCTGCATATTCATAGCATCAAAAGTCAAAGCAAAAAAAAGGAAGAAGGTTCAATGGGGTTGAAACAACTCCTAAATTGCCCCTACATTTTTCTTCCTTCCAACTTTTCCCTTTATTTCCTCATTGTTTTCTTCCTCGAGCATTTTCCTCGTTCCAAAATGGAAAACATGAACATCTTGGCGAGTTCATTATATATAGACTAACAATGCGGGTTTTATTTCTTCCCCCTCCCTTCTTCAGACGAACCGTGCAAAGAAGATCTTATTCAAAAACGACTGTGGGAGAAGTCCAACCTGGAGAGCTACCTGGCAGAGACACGGAAAGAATCAAAACGACGAAGATAGGCAACAAACTTCCCTAGGATGAGAGAGTAAGTTATGATAGTCGATTTCTCACATTAAAATCAATCAAATACGTGTAACACTACTTGATCAAGTACCACAGAATGTATGCGCAGATCCATTGCCATTTTGGTGTAGAATTCATCTTTTTCTATGTAGAATTCAAGTTTTTCACATAACTCTTGGGCTGCTAAGAAGGCTGCGTAGAGAAGTTTGATAGGGATTCTTTTAAAGCAATAGGGAATTCTTTGTAGCATTCTTTTGTAACAAATATGTGTACTTTCACAATTTGTCACTGGGGGAAATGGAGTTTGCGGCATACATTGTCTGTAAAAGAATACCAATATATATATATATATATAGGCTATTTGATAAAATAAAAAATTCTTGACACCTCTTATTTCAAATAACTTTTCATGTAGTTTTTTGATATGTAAATTTTATTTTTTTTTTCTATACCAATATGTAAATAAAATGAATTGAAAAAACTTGACATTTTGCCTCGAGAATACAAGTGTGACATATATTTAGGGACGGAGGGAGTACTTCTCTACTTACAATACTCCTTCAATTCTTATAGCTTTTAAACTATTCATTGATTATTTGATTTGAATAGCCAATTTTCAAAAGGACACCCTAAGGGCATTTTAGGCAAGTCGACACCAAAATACAAATCTTTTAGATTTGTCAAATGTGTAAAAGTTTATGGGACGGAGGAAATATCGTTTAGATACTTCTTCCGTCTCAAAATGATATTCTCTATTCAAACGACGTGCAAAATCCCGTGTTCTATAACATGATTTTATTTACAAATTGATATAGAAATAAAAAGATACAAATTAAAATAAAAAATTTTGTAAAAAAAAAGAATTGATAGGAATATTTTATTTTATCAAATGATCAATAAAAACGAGCAAACAAACAAAAGTTATCGAGATGTTATAATAATAAAATAGTTAAATTGTTTTGGGACGGAGAGAGTAAGTTTGTCTCACATAAATGGGGTGCAAGTTAATTTGTACAAGTAAATGAACAACGAGATTTGGGTAGAAGTATAGATTCACCATATCCATTCATCAAGACGTTGAAGACGAGAAGCTAGGGATCATTAGGAGAAATGAGTCCAATACATAAATTGTGGTCAATCTATCAATCAAATTTCCATCATCTCTTCTCATTATTGTAAACCCATTTTTCTTTTTTTATCTTCACCTCTATTTTCTCCCTTGTTTTCTTCTCTTTGAACCATATCAAATTTTCACAAACTCCTTTTAGGCCATCATTCAATAACATTCATAACTCCATTAATTGTTATCTTCCTCATTCCTTTCTTTGCAGCCAATGTTCATGTCTGAACTCGACATCCATCTACCCACGGCCTTCGGTACGTATGTCACATTTTAGTTTTCTTTTTGTTTTTATGCGCATTTTTTCACCCTCGATTGACGTGAAAACATACTTTGCGGCTTTGGTGTGGATGGGATGTCGCGTACATACAGATCCGTTTGCAGATGCGAATGCAGGAAACTCGACATCGGATGCAGGTGCGAAGGAGTACGTCCACATTCGCGTCCAGCAACGCAATGGTAGAAAGAGCCTCACAACCGTACAAGGGTTGAAGAAGGAGTTCAGCTATAGCAAAATCCTCAAAGACCTCAAGAAGGAGTTCTGCTGCAATGGCACTGTTGTTGAGGATCCAGAATTGGGCCAGGTCAGCACTCGACCTACTGACCCCATTCCGGCTCTCGGGTCCAACAGGGCACCGAAAGAGCGCGATGATGCCCGGTGTAATAATTTGACACCAACATGAGCATCCATATTAAATAAAATAATATCAAAAAGTATTTTTATTTTTACAATACCAAAGAGCATATTTTAACAAGTGTCATGGATTGAATCATATTAGGTTATCCAACTTCAAGGCGACCAAAGGAAGAACGTTTCAATGTTCCTTCTTCAGTGATTATAATCATTGGGAAAACTTTCAACTGGTAATCTAAAATTTGAATTGTTTTATGCTAATAATTTCAACTTCAAAGTTACATGTCAATGGTCAGAATTTTAAGGACCATTCTAGAAACTCACCACCATAGATAATAATCACATATGAATACATACACAGACGATAATCATCAGTGGACACAGACGATTATTTTTTTGCGTATGTACGAGTATAAATTATCTGTAATTTTCATCCGTAGGACACGGTGGGCTTTTAGCAATTTTCGAATTTTAATGTGTTGTTACAAAAGTGATTCTTGGGAACCAATGATGAGTTTTGTGACTAAAAAAGTGCAAGCACGTCACTCAATTTTTTTATTTTACATTTCAAACATCTCATGTGGTTTCCCATCCCACTTTTAATTAATTTTGAAAAATATTACATAATAATAAATGAAACTATTATTAGATATTCAATTAATAGAAACTGAAATTATTAGCACAAAACAACCTAAATCTTTATTGGCGGAAAATTTTCCTTCTTATTTTTATTATCATTCATATTGGTGGGGTTCCCAATGGGACATTGGAACCCCATGTCATGGGATGACCCGAGGGTGTTCCGGTGCCCCGTTCGTAAAATTGCCAGTTCCTAGCCCCTAACCCCCGGCAAACCCCCCCACCCCGCCCCGACCCGAACACACCCCGCCACCCCCTTCAATTGCACCGCACAAGTTGATTTTGACTTTGGAGTCAAATTTTGACTCCAAAGTCAAAATCAACTTGTGGGGTGCACTTGAAGGGGGTGGCGGGGTGTGTTCGGGTCGGGGCGGGGTGAGGGGGTTAGGGGGTAGGAACCGTCAATTTTACGAACGGGGCACCGGAGCGCCCCGGGTCATCGCATGACATTGCAATGTCATGGGAACCTTGCCGCATTCATATAGATATTGGAGTTGAAGTACTACCTGCATCCGAATTAGTTTTTTAACTTAACAGATTAAAAAATGCTTAAAAATTAAATGTGAATGATTAAAATATATTTTGAACGGCGCCAAGGAAATTGGGTCACATATTCTTTTTCAAAAAGTAAAGTCAAAATGAGAAAAAATAATTTTTTTAAAAAACAAATGAAAAAAAAGAAGTGTATAATTTTTGTAAGGCGAGGCAGGGTGTATTTCATTCGTAGGGAGTGTTCGTCGTTGAATTCTAACTCATTTTTTGGCTTTTGCTTTTTTGAAATGGAGCGTTTGGGGTATTTGTCAAAACCTAAATATAAAAAACACTAATTCCCACTTATAAGCTTTCTTCCTAAAATCAATAACAAGCACTCCATATTGTGTGCAGAAAGGAAGTTAAAGCTAGGAATGAAACAATAATAGTATTCTAAAATAAGGTTTATTTTTTGTTTTAATTTTGTCAAGCAGGCTGGCATTGTAAAGAAGGAGCATATTAAGATACATGGTTTCTAGCTAAGTTATTATTGGAGCAAAGAGATATCTACTGCAAATTAGTACTAATTATTCTCTTCCATTTGAGGCAGGGGTTTCTTGGAAAACAACCTCTCTACTTCTAAGGAGGGATAAAATCTGCCTTTGCTGGGATTTTAATAGGTTTCTCGTTATTGTATGTTTCATTAACCAATACATTTAGTTTGATTTTGTGCAAAATGTTACTCTGTTTTTTTTCTTTATCCACATCTTTTATTATTCTGCCGAATGACTCCTACAAATCAGTCTATCTCAATATGCGGTGTTTAAGAAAAATAGAATAAGCTGATATAGAGGGCGTTAAATTTGCTGGGAAACAATTACTGGATTGACCAAACACACCCTAAAGCAAACTTTAAACGTGTCATTGGAACGAGTTAGTAGCCGATCGACTTAGTAAAGAAACACTTCAATCCATCGGTGACAACACATAGAATGATAGAAACAGCCAAAAAGAAAAAAAGTTTGACTTTTAGCACAAATTACAAGCATTTACCTAGGCATTTTGAAGAACCCTTTTTCCAGAAGCTTGTGTTCTTATACATTGCTTTGCTTGTAGAATTTGGTGTCAAGTACTTGCTTCCCACACATTGCACATACTCCTTCACAACAAAAAAAAAATTCAATTAGTATGTGACAAATCCATAACTATTTACATAAATAGATGTTTAAGTGTTAAAAGCTTCACACACTATACTACCTTTGCTGTAAGCACAGGTATGGCAATATTTTCCATCTTGATGCACTTGTTGCTTACATATAATGCACTTGGTACTTCCAGTTCCATATGGCGTCCATCTGCACAGAAGTGTACACTTCTTTATTACAGAGTCTTCATTTTTTTAAACAAAAGAGATTGCCACTCAAATGAAGACTAGAGCGATACAATGTAAGCGAGAGAACTTCGAATCCCTTTTTTCCCACATAAATTTATTTTTGTGCAATGATTAAGTTCTTCTAGAAAACATTAATAAACAAACAGATTATACGTAGAATGATAGGCTAATCACATCTAGCATGTAAGGAGTGCAAGCTAAATTCACCCAAATATATGATCAGCTTGTTATGACACATAACCAACGTCATGACGAAATGTCCAAATCAGAAACTGTTGCATCTATCTGGGCAACTAGTTAACCAAACCCAACAAAAGATTTTGATTTTTTTTAAAACAAACTAGTAAGTTAATGCTTGACAGCATAAAATAATCAAGATTATAAAATCTATACTCAATAGCCATTTAAGATAAAACCAGCCATCCATTATATTAGGAAGCAGAAAGCAGTGTCATTTGCAAGGTCAGGACAACTAAGAAGAATATGTCAATGTATAGTCTCAATCAAAACCCAACAAACTCTTATTAAAGGGAAATTGTGGCAGATATATGCTTTTGAGGAATGCCTAACCGAATGCCACAAAATTAAAACACTAAGACAACTAAACTAGCACGGGGTACAATTAAAAAAAGTATCAAACTTCGATATCAGCACCTCACTTTGTTATCAAATTCAAACGCTTGATAATATAATCTCATATCGAACACTTAAGCTAAAGAAGACTGATATATAAAGAATATGAGTTACTCCTCTCATGGCCAATTAGTTTTGAGTTGGAAACTCAAAATTCTACGTGGTATTAGAGCCAAGGCTTAGGAGCTAAAAAACTCCAGGTGTATTCACGCAAGGAAAAAAACCCCAAGTTGCAATTGAAGGGGTATGTTGAGACACTTGAGAATATAATCTAACATCAAACACTTGGGCTAGAAAATACTAGTAATATATAAGAATATGAGTTATGCCTCCTATGGGCAATTGGTTTCGGATTTGAATCTCACAACTATACCCTAACCACTTTCGCTCCCAAATTTTGAAATTGAATTATAAATGTGCAGCTTCGATCAATTTGCCAGAAATTCTAACCCTTTCACCCCAGAATTCGATAAATTTGACAGGAACTCTGATCCTTTCATCCCCAAAATTTGATCAATTTGGCAACTTATAGGATAATCATGTACTACTATTAATGAATTTTTTTTCTAAAAACAAATGAATAAACGAACGGAAACTGAAGAAACCGCACCTGTTCTTCTTAGAAAGGAGTTTGTTCTCGTTGATCTTCCGCCCTCCGCCTTCGGTTGTGTTATGAGCACCTTCTTTCCACTTGTCCGGCACTATCACCTTCGTCAGCTTCTTCTCGCCTGCATCCACCCCCAATTCACAAAACCCTAACTTTCAAAATTTCGCACAAAACTTTTCTCCAGCGCATACATATATGACGATACATCGAAAGAGACGGAGAATTTGACGAAAACTTACACTTTTCGCAGACCATTGTAGCGGAACGACGAGTCTCTGAATCGGATGTGAGCAACAAAGGAACAACCGAACAAATACGGACCCGATTGATTGATTACCCGAGGAAGATGGAAATTTGTGAATTTACAAACACGCCCTTTAATATTCTCTCTCTCCTACTTAACTTCGTACTCCTTACATGGGTAGTTCGTGAATTGACGTCACAATTTAAAAAATTGTAGTCTCTTAAAATCATTTTTTATTTTGATCAAATAGTGATACGTTTTGATCATAAATTATGAAAAAATAAATTTAATTATAATACAAATTTAATATAATAGAGTTCATTTTATTATATAGGTTTGATATATCAAATTTTATATCACTTACTCCCTAGGTCCCAGAAAGAACTATTTATTGTAAATTCCGTGATTTTTAAAATGATTTTATTTACAATTTGGTAAATAAATACAGAATAAAAAATTTATATTGAAAAACTATATCGAAAATTCTATAAAACAAGAGTTGACAAAATTATTTTATTTTATCAAATGATCATTGATAACATGCAAACAAATAAGAATTATCGAGAGACTGTAAAAGTAATGAGGTATTTTTTTGGATGGAGCGAGTATATATTTAGATTATGTTTAATTTAAGGTAAACAGTATCAATCTTTGACTAAAATAAGTCAAAATAAAAAAAGTTTTCACGACTTAGAGTCTAGAGGAAGTAGTATCTTTTTATGTACGGAGTATATACTTTCTCTCTTTCTCTCCAATAACATCTATCAAGACAGTTCTTTCAAACAAGAGATCGCAAATATGTTCATCAATAAAGCACTCCCTCCGTCCCTTATAGATGTTCCCAATAGCCCTTTTTCTTAATCCACAATAGATTTTCTCATTTCATTTTTTAACAATCAAAATACCACAACTACCCTCACTTACTTTATTTATTACACCTCACCCACCTCATTTAATACATTCCACCCATTTTCATTAAGGGTATTATGGCAATCTTTCACCTTTTTTCAACTCTCCTTAAAAACCACCAAAAGTCAAAATGAGAACATCTTAGGGGACGGAGGGAGTATCTAAAAAACAAAATGACAAGTGTGGGCCATTGGCATAGAGGCATTTTTTTCGGGGCTCAACATTTTTAATTTTTTAATACTACGATTATATTTTACGGAGTATGTATATTTTATACTTCATGCGTCCAACAATAAAATTCTCGTTCATTATTCAAATAGTCAAATTTTATTCACTTTATTGGCATATTTTCGTGTCGTACTTGATAAAATAATATAGCCATGTCACTTTTAGTTTTGTAGACCTTTTCATGTAATTTTAAATATGTAATTTTTATTTTTTAATTCTATACCATTTTTCATATAAAATTATTTAAAAATAACTTCAGTTAAACATCGTAACGCGCAACGAAAACTGTATTTATGGATGGAGAGAGTATAACAACTTAAATTTTTAAGGTAATTATTACGATACTTAATTACGGAGTATAATATTATGATTTTGTTATGCATACTATTATAATATTAATTATTGTTTGAAATAAAATAGTATATACGGAGTATAATTTAATTTGTTTCTTTCTTTCCAGCGGAGCTTAAATGATTATTTTTTGCGGCGGCTCAAAAAAAGCTGTACTCACATGGGTTTTGCGGTGTTGAATGTTGATGGATGAACAATTTTATTTAGTTGCAATGGATACCCTCTCTCCCTAATGAATTTTAATCCATCGTTATAATATTAAGGGGACGTTTTCCATGACATTGGACCTCATATTGAGGAATAATAGTTCGGATTCGTTATGATGTACTGTTCGTAAAATTGACAGTTGTCGCACCCTGCTTAATTGGGCAGAGTAATGATGGGATACTCCTTTGGTATTGTTTCAGTCCGGTTCCGGTTTTGGAACTGGTGGTTCTGGTACCGCCAAACGGTGGATCCACCACCCGCACCCGTTTGTTAGCGGTGACGGTACCAGTTCCAGATCCGACGATTATGGTTCTAATTGCGGTCATAATATATTTTTTATATATTTATGGCTAAATTTTTTGCCTAGATGTAGTTGGCATTTGAATAATAATAAAAATTGGATAGTACATAAGTATCAACTACATTTAATGTCAATTCAAAAAAAGTGACAAATTAGAGAATGGTAAAGAAACTCTCGAAGTAGTTTATAAATTAATCACCTAAAAAACTACCGAGTAATTTATAATTATTAAAAAAAGCTAAGTAAATCGGTCGTTCGAATTACCACTTTCCTCCATGGTTGCATCTATGTAGTTTTGCGTATCGATGTCATACCCATTCTCTTGGGCTGGACACTTCGCCAAGAGCCAATCTGGATTGAAAACTAGAGTCTCCAATTATTCATCTTTTATACCCCCGTACATTTAAGAATAAGAACTCTGGTTACTGCTGCTTTTCTCTCTCTCTCTCTACCAAGAGCCAGAGCTCCATTATTGAGAAGCTAAGGGAGATGAGGAAGCCATCTTCATCAATGGCCAACCCCATCATCCTCCTCCTCCATTTCACTGCTTCTCTAATGGCTCTTCTATCATCATCTCGGGCGGCCCAGCTTTCATCTTCTTCTTCATTCGATGAAAACTTCAGCAAGAGCTGCCCAGAAACCAACTTCAAAACCTCTGAAGATGGTCAGATCTGGTTTCTCTCCTTGGACAAAAATGCAGGTTCATATCCCACCAATTAAACATAAGATGTGTTCTTTTTTTTTTAATTGCATTTATAATTATTTCTTCTCAGATCTCATTACATCTACCAAATGCTTTTAAAAATTAAGAAACTACTGGCTTTAAATCATGTGTTTATACACTGATTATTAGACTAATAATTACTCTGTAAATATTATTTTAATGACAATACAAAACAGGTTGTGGGTTTGCTACAAAGCATAAGTACAGATTTGGTTGGTTCAGCATGAAGATGAAACTGGTGGGAGGTGACTCTGCTGGTGTTGTCACTGCTTTTTATGTGAGTCAGTAATAAAGTCAATAGGAGATAGAATATTATTATTATAATAATTGTTATTCTAAGATAATTGTGATTAAATAAGACTAATTATTATCTATGAATCACTTTCAAAACTACTATTACAACAACAACAACCCAGTTAAATCCCACAAGGGTGGGGTCTGGGGAGGATGTGTGTACGCAGACCTTACCCCTACTCGAAAGTAGAGAGACTGTTTTCAAAGAGACCCCCGGCTCAACGTCGAAAGTTGCATTGCTTGACTAACTGCTACTTCATTAATTAAAGAAGCGCAGACAGTTTAGAGATCCATTTTGATTTATTCCGTCACACCCCAAAGCCAAAAAATGGTAAAATTTTGGCTTTGGGGTGTGACGGAATAAATCAAAATATGGAATAAAAGAGACTACATGAGTCATATATATATGGGGAAAACACCAACTTTTACTCTTATAACCAACAATATTATATTTACAAAGTACGGAGTATAATCGATGTGTTGAATTATGATTTTTCAATCATATAATGAAACAAGAATAATGGTTAAGATAATAATGGGGTAAACCCGTGATTGAATGATTGAGCTGAGAAGACGACTTGGTCTTGATCTTGATCGGGTTCCTGTTTAGGGTGTATGGTTTAGGATGAGATTAGACGATCTTTAGGTTTGGAGTAATTACCCAGAAAACCCTAATTAGTATGGTAAGAGTAATTACACGTCTATACAATAATTACCAATAATATACTCCGTATTAGAGTAATTTGGTAATCGGTCAATTAATGAGATAAATAATCTCAACTTTACTCGTTCTTTCAAAAATCATTACAGATGTGCTCCGAGTACAATGATAAAGGGGAAGGATGGGGGAGTAGAGACGAGCTAGATTTCGAGTTCTTGGGGAACAGGACAGGGCAGCCTTACATTATTCAGACCAATGTGTACCAGAATGGCACCGGCGGTCGTGAAATGCGCCATGTTCTCTGGTTCGACCCTACCATGGACTTCCACACCTACTCCATTCGCTGGAACCCTCACATGATTGTGTAAGTAATATTTTAGTGCCCTACCAATTCATCTACATACCTAGTAGATAATGTGTCTGTTTGGTAATAGCGTTAGCGTCTTGAAAAAGTTATCTACGGGTATCGTTTAGTAGAGCTGGCCAATCGGTCAGTGAGGTCGGGTTCAGTCACTTCGAGTTTGGGTTGAGAACTGTACGTATGTTCATGACCCAGTGTCATTGGTTTCGGGCTGACCCAACGTGTTATGACTTTGCTTTTTAAATTTTTTAAATTCACATTACTTGTATTTTATATTAAATAAATTTAAAATATCAAAAAATATGTATTAAATCTATTAGATTATTTTATTTTAAAATCCTGAAAATTTTTTTAGATACATAAATCAATATAAAGAATTTAGAAAATGCTTAACTTTTAAGAAAAAAAAAGATAATTATGCAATATCATTAACAAGAATTCTGAAAATATAAATTTATACATTAAAAAGGAGTAGTAAAGTGTATAATTTTGAAAAAAACTATTACTTTAGAAGGTCAGGTCGGATTTGGTCACACACTCACCCCAAGTTAAACATATACTTTACTGGCAGCCAATCATTATCTGTGTGTGTTAGTTTTTCATATATAGAGTTCACAAACACATTTTGTTATGTTTATGGGATGTAGGTTCTACGTGGATAGAGTTCCCATAAGAGTGTACAAAAATGCAAACTACACAAACAACTTCTTTCCCATAGAGAAGCCAATGTACTTGTTCTCAAGCATATGGGACGCCGACGACTGGGCGACGAGGGGCGGTTTGGAGAAAACCGACTGGAGAAACGCGCCGTTCGTGTCCACGTACAAAGACTTCAACGTGGACGCCTGCCAGTGGGAGGACCCTTACCCGGCGTGCGTGTCCACCACGACCCAACACTGGTGGGACCAGTACCCGGCGTGGCACCTCTCGCCCGACGAGCAACTCGACTACTCTTGGGTGCTTAGGAACCTTGTGATGTATGATTATTGCCCGGACTCCGACCGGTACCCGACCAAGCCCGAGGAATGCTGGCTCAGTCCGTGGGACTGATCGATTCGTCGCACGATTATCCGAATGATTTTTTTCATGTTTTTACATACATTACATACGGAGTCCTCGTGAGGACATTACTGAATTGAGTGTACTATATATATATATATATATATATATATATATATATATATATATATATATATATAGATTTTGGTTCTGGTGAGAATGCGATCTTAGGAGAGAAATGAGAATGAATTTGGTGCTTTAGATTGTGCGCACGATGCATCAGATCCAACGGCTAGATTTCATTCTCATTTCTCTCCACAAGGTGCATTCTTACAGGAACCGGCCCATATATATATATATATATATATATATATATATATATATATATATAGGGGCCGAATCCCGTGAGAATGCACCTTGTGGAGAGAAATGAGAATGAAATCTAGCCGTCGGATCTGATGCATCGTGCGGCTCAGATTGCATCCTGCGCTCAGATTTTGAGATAGTGCATTTTCGAAGGTTTATGATGCATTTCAACGTGATGCATTTTCGCACCATTTTGGTGCATCTAATTTTGATGAAATCTTGACCTTTAGATCTCACAATCTAAAGCACCAGATTCATTCTCATTTCTCTCCTAAAATTGCATTCTCACCAGAACCAAAATATATATATATATATATATATATATATATATATATATATATATATATATATATATATATATATATATATATATATATATATATATATATATATGTGGGCCGGTTCCCGTGAGAATGCACGTTGTGGAGAGAAATGAGAATAAAATCTAGCCGTCAGATCTGATGCATCGTGCGGCTCAGATTGCATCCTGCGCTCAGATTTTGAGATAATGCATTTTCGAAGGTTTATGGTGCATTTCGACGTGATGCATTTTCGCACTATTTTGGTGCATCTAATTTTGATGAAATCTAGACCCTTAGATTTCACAATCGAAAGCACCAGATTTATTCTTATTTCTCTCTTAAGATTGCATTCTCACCAGAACCAAAATCTATATATATATATATATATATATATATATATATATATATATATATATAAAATTTTGGTTCAGGAAATAATTAAGGTTGATTAATTCAAAAGAAAAGAATTATTGTGTGAAATGATTCATATTTTTATTTCTGGTTATATTGTCCATATATGTCAAATATTAATTTTAATTTCTTTCTTTACATTTGTGCCAGTCAAATTATAATCTCTTTAGTGCAAATTTCACTTTAATGTTTGGTGAGATTGTTTTTGTTTACTCCGTATAAAATATGCTACGGGTATTAAAGGTGCATACATTTAATTCTTTTTGCACTTTAAATTGATAATAAATTAAATAAAATTAACTTTATTAACTATATTTGCTCATATATATTTTTTCCCAACCTATTTAAGAATTAAGATGTCATTGGATCAAAATGTCTTTGATAGTTGACTTCTATGAAGTACTCCATATAATACATAGTAAGGGGAAGGTTGCAGGAGATGAAGAATGTAGAAGGGTTGGGGAATGGGAATCAGAAACTCGAATATGTGGCGGAGAATGGGAAAAGCTTATCTAAAAGTGGAGAAAGGGAATGATTTTTTTAATAAACAAACAACAACAAAGGAAATCAGGGAATCTCATTCTGTTTCCTGATTCCCTTACCTCCTAACCAAACGCTCTTTAGAACTTTCAAATTTTACAAGTAATTTGATTGAATTTTACAAATAATATGATTAAATTTTGCAGAATTTTAGAACGTTCAAAATTTACAATCTTGGTAAAAAATTTTAAATTTTTATTTCATTATACCAATGTCCAATAAGAATTAAAAGTAATTAAAATATAAAATATGTCCTTCAAAAAAGAAAGTAATTAAAATATAGTAAAATTTATCCACTTTAATTCGAAAAATCATTAAAAAAAATACAGACAAATATTGGCTATGTTCTTCCAAAGATCACTATCAGAGAGCTTCGCAGCAGCCAAAGCAAATGTCACACCCTCACAAACCTCAGAAACTTTACCACAGAAACATTTCAGATTCATCTTCTCCCCCGCCCTTCAAACCAGACTGGAGATCAAGAATCAGACTCGCCCAAATCGTCACCCAAATCTCCACCATTCTCACTCAAAGGAGCAGAAGCCATTGGGCGTCACTTCTCAAGCCCTTCAAGCTCGGCTCTTCCGATTTCACCCCTCATCTCTTCCTTCAAATCTTCCACAAGACGCAGAATCACCCCTCTGTGGCTCTCGGATTCTTCAATTACGCCTGTAAGAATCTAGGGTTTATACCGGACCTCAAAACCCTTTGTAAACTCGCCCGGGTTTTATTCGGGTCCGGACTCTCCGCACAATCAAAACCCATATTGGGTTCTCTGGTTCAAGACTATCCCGCCAGTCGGATCGTCCGGGCATTGGTTAAAGGTACAGACTTTGACACTCGCTCTTCCTTGTTGAGCTCTTTGCTTGATTGTTACTGCGACGGCCGTTTGTACCTGCAAGCTCTGGAGGTTTATCAGAGATCAAAAGATTATGGCTGTTTGGTTTCAATTTGTGGTTGCAATGCATTGCTAGGGGGATTACTAGACAAAAATGAGATTAGAATGTTTTGGTGCTTCTACGGTTTGATGGTTCGGGACGGGGTTTCTGGAAATCTGTTTACTTGGTCTTTGATTGCTTTAGCTCTAAGTAAAGATGGAAAGTTTGAAAGGATTGTTAAAATTTTCGACATGGGTATATATTGTCCCACAATGTATGATCTTACAATCGAGGGTTATTGTAAAAGAGGGGATTTTAAAGTTGCTCTTATATATCTAGATGAGATGCAAAACAAGGGGATAGACCCTAGCTTTAGTACCTTTAGCTGTATTCTTGACGGGGCTTGTGAATTTCGTGATGTAAAACTGATTAGTGATGTTATTAATTCTATGGTGGGCAAGGGGTACCTTCCAAAAAAGATTCACGAAGATTATGATTTGGTTATCCAGAAGCTTTCCGATTCAGGGAAGACATTTGCTGCAGAGCTTTTTTACACGAGAGCTAAAGAGGAGAAGATTGAGCTTCAAGGAACAACTTATGGATCTGTTTTAAGATCACTGTCAAATGCAAGACGAGTAAAGGATGCTATTAACTTCTTTGATTCGGCAGTGGCGAAGAGAAATGATGTCATCAGTGATGCATATCTTTTGCCATTTTTTAAGATGCTCTGCGAAGAGAGTCCATCAGAGGATGTCAGCAGATTGTTTAAAGGACTGATAGAAAGGGGATTGACATTGGCTCCTTGTGTTGGCCAAATCTCTGCATATATAACTTCTCAATGCCAAAACCGTTGGTGGAAACAAGCCGAGGAGCTTTTGAATGTAGTTTTAAACAAAGGAATTTTGCCAAAGGCGTCATGTTTTAGCTTTTTGGTGAAGAATTATTGCTGTAGTGGACAGATCAATTCTGCCATTTCATTGCACGCTAAGGTCGAGGGACTTGATGGTAATTTTGATGTAAACACATATATTAAACTGCTCGATGGGTTGTTTAGAGAAAAAAAGATTGAAGAAGCTATCAGGATATTTGATTACATGAGAATGCATGATGTGTTGAGTAGTGAAAGTTTTTCAATCGTCATTAGACGGCTTTGCGCTGAAAAGAACTTCAAAAAGGCCATGAGATTGCATGATGAAATGCTGGAGATGGGGCTTAAACCTGATGCGAAAAAATATAAGCACTTGATCTCTGGTTTCAAGTGAGGTTCTGAAGACATGGCAGAATTTCCTATGACAACAATACCCCCAAGAGGTAAGAACTAGTGTAGTCCATTGAAGGATCTGTTTTTGCTTACGTGGTCGTCCTTTGTATGTAAAGTGGAATAAAACATAATGACTATTTAAAACTGCCCGCGTTTCTTTTATAGTGAAGTACACCCACCGTTCCAAAATAATTCTCTTTTTTCACTATTTACATGGTCAAACTTTTTCAACTTTCTTTTTCTATTTTAATTGCTCATTTGATAAAATAAAACGGAGTATAGTCTTTTCCTCTATTGTTTCGTAGAACTTGTGACGTAGTTTCTGAATATTTACTATGTATTTTTTATTTTTGAATTTCACACAAATTTTCCAATAAATTTAATAAAAAACAACTTGAGCCAAACATCATAAGTCGCAATGGGAACTTCATTTTGGGACTGAGGGAGTAGCAGTTAGTCAATAACGCTCATCATGGGTCATTTGGAAATAACTGTTGTCGTCCTCCAACATGGGGTTTTGTTATTGTGTTATTAATTCACATTTACCTATGACCCCTAACACACACATACACCTTTCCTTTGGGGGTTTTGTGGCTGTCAACCATCTACCAGACTTTATTTTTGTTTACCCCACATTCCTCTGATTTGTTTTCTTCATTTTATTTCTACATTCTCTCTCCTCAAAACCATTTCCCCCCTTGGAAACAAGGAGAAAAAAAACACTATGAACCCTATAGATATTGAAATTCTTTTAGCAAAGACCCACCCTTTATAAATTTTTTTCAATAATTTGTTTCCAATATTTCTATCATCGGCTCCTCGCTAGTCGCTATGTTTATTAACCATGTTGGTTATTTTTCATGAAGATTTCAAGAAGAATATCATTTGACAATATCTGAAGGAAGGTTATGAGGAATGGCATTGTGAAGACAAGAGTGGAAAAAAGTTGTCTTTTTTCATCTCCTTTCTTGTCTACCATACTTGCATTGTTTTATCTTTGAAAAGGTAATTTCTTTTCTTCATCGTTCATTCATTTATTCTGATTCCGGTCCATATAGAACATGATAAATAATGATTAAATATTCTTTGTGAAAATTTTACGACGGCAGAAAGAAGAGAAGCTTTAATTGCAAGACTCTCATCGGAGAAGAAGACCGTTAGGTCGGGCATATTTGTTTGGGTCTCTTTCATGGAAGCCATGATGAAGGGGACTTTCAAGGCAGGGTTCAAATACATATCAAATATTTTTGGTATTGCCTTTATTTTCCCCTTTCCAATTTCTTTCTTTTCATGTAAATTAGATTTTCTTTTCGTATATAGAAAAAAATTGAAAAAAACATGTAAATGTTTATAGTTGTGAAGGAGGACGATATAGAGATCGGATTCCCAACGGATGTAAAGCATGTAGCACACATTGGATGGGATGGCCAATCCGCCGGCTCTGCACCTACTTGGGTATGTATATATCAAATCTTTGTAGTATAATTTAGTTTTATTAATTCAAATGATACACACACACACACACAAACAATAGACTAACATGCCCTTCTATCTATTAGTGTTCAAACAAAGCTAGAATAATTACATGGAGAATTATTATTGTCTTCTAAAACAAGACCTTTCTTTTATGTGAAACTGAATGAGAAGATGAAAGAGTTCAAGTCCGGGCCCGACTTTACTTCGTCATCAATCGGTAACGTTGGTCGTAAACCGTCGTCACCCGACTTTTGCAAAGATGATTTGACATCTTCGAGAGACATCAGTGGGGCCCACGCCATTCCGACGAGGAAACAGAGACGGAAGAAGTCCAGAGCGGTATCTTCGTCCGGCTCCAGTTTCTCCTCGTCGGCATCGCGTGCCCAGCCCAAATCTAAGGCTAAGCTTGTCGCAGAAGAAGGCAACGATCGTCCCAAACCTTCGGACATACACGTCGTGTAATGTTGAACTTGTTCACGCCGGATGGGGGTGTTTTTTGCCATTTGTCATTCTTTTCTGGAGAATGTTACTTTTATCCCATATGTGACACTGAGGTTGACGCTATCAGAGACAATCATGCAAAGAAAGACATTTAGAGTTTGTTTATAGAGTGACATTTTGGAGGGGATCCCTTTGCCCTAAGCTATTTCTTTTCAAAATCGATTTAGATTTAGGTTTGTTTATTTTTGACAAGGTTCTAAATCCCAATTTCAAACATCAATTTTTAACTTGGTTCCTTTTAACCTGAATTTAGTTCCTTCTAATCTTAGAAGTCATACTAGAAACCCACAACTCCACAAGATTTGATACTAAAAGTTTGACACCAAATATTTTGCAAATATACAGATAGTCATTGTCTGTGTCGCATAAAAATTATATTAACCCCACTTTAATCTTACTTTTGACCCTCATTGTCTTCACAGACATTACTAACACGGAACAATGTTCCGTGTTTGTAATATCTGTGAAGGCAATGCGGGTCAAAAGTAGGTTAATATAGCATGACTCAAAAATTAATTGACTATGTATATCAGTATATCTATAAAATATTTGGGGTCAAATTCTTATTGGGTTTGTAACATTTTTTTTGTAATTTTAGTTTTTGGTTAGTGGTTCCAGTTGTTGATTAGGAATTCAGGAATGAGTATAAAGCAGATTTGCATGATTTGACGTAGCAAAAGGGCCTAATTTTATTGGAAATAATTTAGTGGATGGTTTTTGGTTTGACTTATTCCGATTGGGTTGACCAAAATTGAGTACAACCGAATACAGCCTTGCACGTGTATTTAAATAGGGACTGTTTCTAGGCCCATAAAGCACTGTTGTATTTATGTACACAGTAACTTTTATCAAAATTAAGAGCGTATTATTTGTGTTAGTGCTTATTGACATATTGTTAATAATCAATTTTTAATTTTTACATTGTTTATAAGTTGAATATATGACGTACATGATAGATACGTTGTTTGGGATTATTCATAAATAGTTAGAAAGAGTTTTGTAAATAATTTATAAAATTACTCTGTCAACTCTTATCTAGGGAGAATATAAAAGTCAAACTAGTTAAGACTTGGGTGGAGAGGGTGATTTGGGAGGGAGGGAGAGAGTAGGACCAATTAAATTACTTCAATTTACATAAAATACCAAGTCTATAATAATATTCATTGGTGTACACATTGAAAATATATGGAACCGTGTTTGGGCAATTAATAAGATTTTACAGTGACATTAAACAGTAACATTCTTGAAACGAAATAGAGAACTTCAATTTATACCCCAAAGACAATAACCATACAATTGCATATGTTTTTCTTTTTAGTGTACACCAAAATTTAGGGCCCAAATTTTTTGAGTATTAAAAAATATTCTTATTTCCTTTTTTATTTTCTGGCTTATCTTTCTCGACTTCTGGTATCCTCGTTTAATTTACACCGCCACCAATTCATTCTTTCATCTCCTTTCTTCTTGTGTCCATTTTTTTAGTTGCGTTTTTTAAGGTTATTTGTAATGTCCCACCAACGCTCACTCTAAATCAACAGCCACTCAGTGCCATCACGACACCATCTCACTCATTTTACACCTGTAATGTCTCACCACCACTGCAATGAGTGCACTTTTATTATCAATAAAGTGAATGAAATTTGACTTGTCTTTATTTCCAAATAATAAGTTTAATAACGAACTTTATCTTAATTTATTCGGAGTAATTTGTTTCATACTTTCATTTTATTATTAAAAATTTCAAATTTCAAATGTTGTTTGAGAAATCATAGAATTTCAATTCTAAATTTTGAATTTTAGAGTCGGCAAAGACACTAACGCAAGAGATCGATATGTAGGGAACTATCCTATATATATATGTAAAAGAGGGTTTCAAAGTTGTGGTGACGACACGTGTCATGCCACACGTGCATACTAATGACACGTGTCCCGCCACGCGTATATCACATGACACATGTACGTCCATCCATGCATGTGAGTTAATTTTCTATTAAATAATCCGTATTTTTATTTTTTATAAACTCTTCACTTTCCAACAATAAAAAACTATTATTTTTATTAACTTTTTATAAACTCTTCACTTTCTGACTATGTTAAAACCAATTTATTGTTTTGACGTATCTTAAAAATATGCACGATTATTTTATAATTTTAGAAAATTTATGTATATAATTTATTGATTAAAAAGATGTTGCTTATAATTTTTAAAATTATCCATCATATCAAAAAAAAACTAATTACATATAAATTTTATCACACGTGCATCTTTATTAAATTCATATTTTAGTTGTTTTTCTTATTACATTACTTATTTTACTATATTTTTTTCAGCAAACTAAACAAAGTAAAAATTTAATTGAAGGATTACATGTTACACATACAAATATGCATTATCTAATGATGTGACATTCCTTAATTGATCTATTCGATATTTTTATATTAATTTTTATTAATTAAAACAATTTTCATTATTATTTTATTTGATGACCATTAATTTTGCATAAAATGTTTATTTCATGGAGGCACTACACCTCCCCACATGTCATGTGGCACATGCATGTATATATTTATTATTATTAAATTTTTATAAAAACTTCACTTTCTTACATTAAATAACTTATATTAAATTTTTATAAATCCTTCACTTTCTTACACTAAATAAGCATTACTGTTGAACAAAAAGAAAATTATTATTATCAAATTTTCAAAATAGTATTTTAATTTTTTTTATCAAATATAAATAATTATTAAATACAAATTTATTTCAAACTTTTTATCCTTTTACATACTACAAATAAAAGAATCCACCATTTATTTATATTCTTATTTCTAACAAATAACTATATTTTATTAACTCTATATTTATTAACTATATATTTTACTTCAAAATGTTTTTTTGGCAACATTATTAAATTTTTTATATAATATTTCAAAACATTAAATTCAATAAACTAGATTTGTTTTTGTTCTGGGATAACATGTGGCATATATGTCATATACCACATACGAATCTTTCAATGATTTATCATTACTTAATTAGTTTATTTTGCATTTTTATTTTATTTTTTTAATAATTAAATCAAATTTCAATATTATTTCATTTGATAAAAATTTGATAATTTTGGTCAAGTCGCTCTATATATACTTTGACCACAAAGTGTACAAAAAATATATTATATTTAATTATAATGTAAATTTTGAAAAAATGTATCTATTTAAAATATTATTTTCATATATCAAGTTTTTATGACATTTAATTATTTAAAATTGTATTTAAAGTATTACGTAGTTTTACCAAAAAATCCTAAAAGAGGGTATATAGATTAAAAATCTTAATATATTTTATTTGATTATTGTATTTATTTGGAGTTTATATGTTATACCATTTAAAAATATGTAACATACATAATTAGTTATATATCTAAAAAAAGTATAAAATTTATTAATCTTTTAAAAAAGAAATCCTGACGTTGTTTTCAATAAGGTATTTATCATTTTATCTTTTATTACTTCATTAAGGTAAAAATTACGGCTAGCCAAATTTATACTGTTTCACACACACACAGATATATATATATATATATATATATATATATATATATATATATATATATATATATATATATATATATATATAGACACACACACACACATGCATACATACACACACACACACACATATATATGTATATAGTTGTGTGTGTGTGTGTGTATGTATGTATGTATATGTATGTAAAAGATAGTTTAGGGGTTGTAGTGTTGACACATGTCATACGTGACAAGACAGTAAACGCCAACGCGTACATACCTCAAACATTAAACGCCAACGTGTAGGCCAATGTGTGCAGACACTAAGCATTGATGTTTGTCTTTCGCAATTCTCGCTTCAATAGTAACATGTACAGATGCCCAGCCGTCATATATCTCAACGAACATCAAAACACCAAAATGAACATCAACCGGTACAACGCCAAAATGAACATTTAAAATCATTACAAAAAATGAATCTCTTCAACCACCAACATCAAATTAAAAAACCCCAAAATAGAATAATATCACTCTTCACATTTCACAAAACAAAAAGATACAATGTAGCCTTTCAAAATCCTACAAAACCAAAACATACACAACCCTTTAACACATGCCCAAGCGTAGCACTGAAGAAAATTAAATCATAAATCGAACTCTCCATTTTCAACCATCGCATCAATAACATTATAACAACGAGCCCTAATAACAAGCCTGTGCGTAGCACGGGGTAGAAAACTAGTTGTTGCATTAAGAGAGAACAGTCTCTAATTGCAAGTAAATTTATGAATGACATTGAAAAAGGTGTGAATTTAATCATTTATAATTGAGTTTGTTATGAATTCAAAGAATTTGGTACATATCTAAAGAGTAATGATGGATTGAAATAATGATCTTAAGTAATTAAAAATAAAAACAAAAATACACAAATGGTAAGTTTGTGCATTTTGTAAATGTTTTATTTGTGACTCTAGCATTACTCATATCAAATCTAAATTTGTTGAATTTCTTAACAAGTAAATTGAATCAAATTCTGGACTAAAATTTAAACTCAAGTTTCCAAGCATATCATAAAATTAATCTATTTACTTGACTTCAATATACCTTTCCAGCGCCCAACTACGCCATCACTCTTCATTAAATGACTTCAATATTTACGTACGTATAGTATACGTACAACAATATATTTTCTCTGCAAACAATTTGAACACTTTCATTCTTTCTCATGGATGTATGTACTCCAGTGTATGTGCCGCGCTGACACCTTCGACCTAGCTGGATAATATATATTCCCAATTAAATTAAATACTTCCTCTGACTCATAAAGATGTTCTCATTTTGACGTTTAGAAAATTTAATGGAGGAATATTTTAGTGTTGATTTTCTAAAAATACCTTTGATGTGATGGGTAAAATATGACATAATAAAAGATAGATTACTAGTAAAAGGTATTATGTGATAGGTATTGTAAGAATTAACAACGCTAAAAGTGATTTTTTAATAAGATGAGAAAAGAATTTGTGGGACAAGAAAAAAAGAAAGGAAGAAGAATTTTTAGGACGAGGGGAGTACATATATGCATTCATATATAACACATTAGTATACTCGGAAGTGTAATTTAATTTGCAATGGCATTCTACTAGTTAAAAATTTTAATCTTGGAATCAACATTTCATTAGTAATTTATACTTTGCAATCACATTTTGTGCGCTAGTTATAAATAAGCAAACAAAACGAGTTAAATTTGACCCTTTAAATAATGGCTGAAAAGACCTATGAAAAACAGAGAGAGAGTATATAATAACAAAACATAGTTTTCTCGCATTGGACCTGTGAATCGCAGTTGTGGTCTCAAATTATCACCATAATTGTTCTCATATACTTCAATTCGTATATGCAAAGCCTATGTATGTGCTCGACATTGATGGATTTTAATCCACCAACTATAGTCTTTCTATTGCTTGTGTTAGTTCGATTCAGCTTGAGTTTGTGTATGAAATATCCTCTATTTGCAACCTACATGAGGCGATATACATGACAATAATAACTCGATCTCCTAGTCTTGTGCCATAATCGACGTGATGGCTCTAACACTATGGCACTATGTTTGGATCGAGGAAATTGGAAGAAAAAAAGAAAATGATTTTTCCTCAATTTTCTCACTAAAATAAGAAGAATTTAGTTTTCTTTCATATTAGTACATTTTGTAATCTCATTTTTTTCCTTGCACTTTTCTTTTATTTTCCTCTCTAACCAAACAAGAAAAATATTTTCCTTCTCATTTTCTTTTCTTTTCCCTCTCAAATTTCTTGAACCAAACATAGTCTAATTGCCGCTATAAGCATCGATGCACATATCCAAGCCCAATGTCCAACCCATCTCCTAGGGTGTACAACGAAGGGAAACAGGGCCTCCCACCAGCCCAAAGTCTTTAAACAAGCTGGAGCAATCAACTCGAAACGTGTTATGCCTATACACACACACACATATCGGCAAAGAGGATGACACTAAACGTGAGAATTGAGAATGGTTATCAAATTTTGGTTCATAATGACACATTTATGAATAAAATATTTCTGGTGGTTGAAAAGGTCAAATTATTTTTTCACAACGTTTTTCTTTTTTGTTTGGAAATAATGTTATTAATTAGCGCTAGCATTTTGATAATTTTTTTATGGTGTGGATAAATTTTGAAAATACTTATTAAATGTTATTGTAAGACTATCTTTTCAAAATAATAAAGCTAAATGATGAAGTTGTTGCAAACAAACGTATGTTTAAATATCATTATCTGAACCGAATACATTTCTATTTGTGCTTCAACATCCGAATCAAAACATACGTACTCCAATCCTACTCCCTCCGTCCACTTTGATTCTTCTCATTTCACTTTTCATTTGTTTCAATGCAACATTTTGACCATTAATATCTTAATTTATAGATGGATACTCCCTCATTTGAAAAAAGAATACACCTTTATTTTTTGTACATCCTACAATATACTACTACCCCATCAAAAATGTCCAAAATATTTCAAAAGAAGGGAGGGATCAGAGTACTAAATATTACTCCGTACCTAAATATTCCCTCTGCCTCAAAAGAAGCCTGCTATTCTTGTAACGATATTTGATTGAAATTGTTATTTTTAATTCAATATAAGTGAATATTAGTGTAAAATTAAAAGATAAAAATTATATATTAGAAAACTAAATCAAAAGTTTTTCGAAACAAGTGGTCACATGATTATTTTAATTTATCACATTATCGATAAAACTATACTCTATTTAAATAAGGTAGAGTTAATTTGACTAGTGAATAGTAACTAGGAGTCTTTTTAGGGACAATGGAAATATTATAAAGATATACTTCCTTCGTCTCATAAAACTTTTCAAAGAGAGAAAAAAGAATATTTTCTAATTTTTCTAGTTTTATAATAAGGTAGAATATATTCTGTAAGATATATGTGTCATAATTAGAAAACAATATCAAAATTGCCCATTTTTAGGAAACATTTTTTGTCTTTGAAATTTTTTTATGGGCTAGAAGAAGTAATGTGTTATTCGTAATTTAATGTGTTTCTTTTATAAAGCAAAGATTATTTTGAAGCAAAGATTATTTTGAATCGTCTAAAAAAAGTAAAGAAAAAAAATAAGAGTATTTAAGAACGAAAGAAGTAGACAATCAATTATGAATTTCTTCAGACAAACGATATAATTTAATCGTCTGTAAACACATACAATCACATACTCCGTAGTTTTATATGAATAAAATGAGAGAGATTGGGGGGGGGGGTGGGGTGTCACCCCCTACTCATGCTATACCCCTCCTCAGCGAGCGACGCAGTATATATTAAACACCACCAGCCCCCCGCCATAAATGCTATTTCATCCTCCCCATTAAGCTCCGCAATAACTCCTCCCCACTGCCACACACACATCTTCTTCAACCTCTTCTCCTTCCCCCCTCTCTCTCTCTATCTCTTTCCCTCACACCCCTATTCTTTTCACAAATTAATAATCAAACCCTATTTATCTTCTCCTTTCTCCATCTACCCCCTCTTCTTTTTCCTCCACCCACCATGTTTCCATCTTTCTTTCTTTCTCCTCCCCTTTCCCCGCCGTTAGCCGCCGCCTAACGCCGCAGTTGACTAGGTTTCCGGCGACGACCGGACCCTTTGTCCCGGCGACCAGATCTAGGGCACCACTGTTCACAAGAACCCTTCAAACCTTAAAACGTACGTGCGGACATACTCTCCCATGGCGGCTTCAAAGTGGAAACAGTAGTGGTACGTGGTAAGTTTCCATTCTGACTTTTTAACTTACGTTTTTTGAGAACAAATAAATAAGTAAATAAATAAATACTGTAAATCTTTTGTTTCTTTTAAAGAAAGAAAATGTCACTGATTAATTATGGGTCAATGTGTTTTTATGGCTCCACCGAGATATTCGTTTGCGTCATTTATTATTATTGGTGAAAATGTAACAGCGGTCAATCAGCAGTAGTTAATTATTTGTATTTTCATTCAAAATAAAAATGTACAAAAAATTTAAAAAGTTAACTAGAAATAAAGACCAGTGGATTGTGTTCACACTAATGTGTTTTTTTTTTTCAAAAAAAAAAAAAACACTTGTGTTTGTAAAATTGTGCTACGTGGTTCTTGCTAGTTTTCTTGTTATTTTAAAACATTCTTTTACTTATCATTAGATGATATACAGACAATAAATCTACATTTTCTATATAAAAAAAAGAATCTTAAATTCCATTGCTTACACCTTAGTGAAAACAAATGTGTTTTTTTCTTCCTTGAGAGAGAAAACCCTAGTTGCTACTAACCCAAACGGGCTTTATTCATTTCATGAAGAAATCTCGTCAATCAAATTAACTATGGTAAGTGAGTGGGTGTTACTATATGTCTATATTTGCTCTTAAATTAATTTAATCTGTTTTTGGCTATTCAATCCTTTTTTTTATTTTTGGGTTCATATATATCATCTTCTTCAATTGAATCCCCCTTTCTCCTTTCGATCTACTTAATTATATTATACTCAATATTTTGATCTAACAAACACATAAGATTGAACAAGGCGACGAAGCATGCACGGTGGATCGGAGCCGTTGACCGGTGATGTGAGGCCACCAGAATCACGCAACGTGCATGTATGTACGTGTTGACTTTTATATCGGTGCACCATGCAGTGATTCCGGTGGCACTACATCATCGGTGGACGGGACGGTCTTGCCACCAACATTTGGTGTACCATTAGTTGTAATTCATTATTTTGAACCATTTTTTATTAACAGGCTAAGGGTGACTCAAACGCCGCTCTGTCGCTATATATCCAGCTATATATCCAGTGTTATTCTCCTGCAAACATAAATTTGAGTTTTTAGTTGAGATGTATGTTGACTTAAAAATCATGTGTTCAGATCTCACTACCATCTAATTTTAAAAATTAATGTGCATGTGCAAAACTGAGTATAGTAATAATCTTTCCAAGTATAAACACGATTTTTTTTGTTGATTTGGTTATTTGAATGTTCTAAAAATTTAAGTACAAAAAATGTGTGTTTACACCTAGATTATTCAATTCAAACTGTATTTCACTTAATTTTGCAGATCACAAGTTGAAAACCTAGCTAGAAGCAAGGGAAACTGTAAAGATGTTTCATCCAAACATGTTTGATCAAGGCCATCAAAGTTTGCTAGACATGGGACACAACAAGCTGCAAGAGATGAGCAGCAGTGAGCTGGACATTCTCCGGGAGGACGAATTCGAGAGCAAATCGGCAACCGATATCATGGAAGGACCGTCCGGAGATGACGATCACGATCCCAACAAACAACCGGGCCCCACCAAAAAGAAGCCGTATCATCGTCACACGCAACATCAAATCTCCGAAATGGAAGCGTAAGAACTTCAATAATTTTATGAGAAATTTACTTAAATAGGACTAAAACATGATTTTCTTAATATATGACCATATGTTATTGTTTCTTTGACCATTGATCATTATTCATTAGTCATTATTTAAGTAGATGTCCATCATCCTTGGACATTATTACTCCTACTGGACATTATTTAGTCATATTTAGAGAATAAAAAATTTTAAGTCCTACATTAGAAAATGACATATGTTTTAATCCTATTTAGTACAAGATTCACTAATTTTATAGACCGAATGAGGTATCGTACAACTCCGAAATGGACCAATGTTATTATAATGACACTGGCTATTGGTGCCAAAATAGCTGGTGTCAAATTATGTATGTTGACAATCGATTGTCAATAACATAAATCTTGTTTTAATAAAACAGGTTTTTTAAGGAGATTCCACACCCAGATGATAAACAAAGGAAAGAATTGGGACGTCGACTAGGGCTCAAGCCATTGCAAATTAAGTTTTGGTTCCAAAATAAACGCACTCAAATGAAGGTGACAAATATTGATCATCCTAAACTCAGTTGTTTTTTTTTTTAAATTCTGGATGACAAAAAAAATTGTTCTTTATTGACATGTAGAGTGGTGAGTGACATGGTGTATGTTTTATTTTTAGGCACAACAAGAACGTCACGAAAACGGAGCGTTGAGGGCGGAGAACGACAAGCTTCGGGCCGAGAACATACGATACAAGGATGCCCTCAGTAACGCCACATGTCCCAATTGCGGGGGCCCGGCTTCCATCGGAGAAATGTCCTTCGAGGAGCAACATTTGAGGATCGAAAATGTTCGCCTCAGAGAAGAGGTACTTGTAATTATTAAGATCGTGCAACGCACGGGTGCCTTGGATTAAGAATTAATTACTCATCATTATTCAATTGTGTATTATGTTGCACGGATTATTTAAATAAGTATCCTTTCTTTCCCAAAAACGTTCCCTTTTGGGTGCCTAAAACCGTCTTCACACCCAAATCCTTTATAAAAATTGAAAAAAATGGTGTTTTATTATCTTGTACTCCGTGCAACTTTGCAATTACAAAGTAAATACGGCGATTAAATTATTATTATTATTATTGTTGTTGGTGTTGTTGTTAATGTTACTTTTGTTATAGATTGACAAGATCTCGGCCATTGCCGCAAAGTACATTGGCAAGCCGATGCTTTCGCCTTCCCTCGGGCCACCTCGATCGCTCGATCTAGTAGTGGGAAGTTTCGGGCACCAACCGGTACCCGTCCAAGGGGACTTGTACACGACGGGCGATCTTCTGAGGTCGGTTTCGGGGCCGCCTTCGGACATGGACAAGCCGATGATCATCGAGCTAGCGGTGGCGGCAATGGAAGAGCTGATGAGAATGGGTCAAGTTGGGGAACCTCTTTGGGTCCTCAGTCCCGGAGACCATTCGAGCGAGATCCTGAACGAGGAGGAATATTTGCGGTCGTTCCCGAGAGGAATCGGACCTAAACTGCCCGGGTTTAGATCCGAAGCTTCTCGGGAATCCGCAGTCGTGATCATGAATCACATTAACTTGGTGGAGATTCTCATGGATGTGGTACGGATTCTCATTAACTCATTTACGCTCCTTTTTGTTTACCGTTAAACTTTGAACAAAGATTTGAATACCAAATTAATACTCCCTCCGTCCTATAATGATCTTCCCGGTTCGCAAAATGAAGAAAAATCCCAAGTTTTTTCAATCTATTTTATTTAAATATTGGCATAGAAATAAAAAATAAAACATACATATTTAAAAACTACACCAAAAGTTCAACAAAACAAGTGGTGACAAGAATATTTTATTTTATCATATAGGCCATGAAAAAACACAAATAAATATAAATTCCCGTGAAGTTGGAATAGTGCTCTGGGAAGATCATTATAGGACGGAGAGAGTACGAGATAATAGAATAATATATACTCCGTAATCGGGATATGAGTATATACTCCATTCCGTCTTAAAAAAATTTCCTGTTTTGATTTTCTTTAGTCAAACAGTAGCACTCTTTGATTATAAATTAAACATAATCTAATTAAACAAGTTATACAAAAATTTAATATATCAAAAGTATATAATAAGATGAACCCAATTATATTAAATATATATTATAATTAGGAATATTTTTTTGACAATTTACAGTCAAAGTGTGTCAGTGTTTGACCAAAAAAAGTCAAAACAAGAAAGGTTTTTAAGACTGGAGGAAGTAGAAAATTACGCGGAGTAATAATTTTTTTTATTAATAGTTGCAATTTACGAGGAATAATAATCAACAATTTTGATATTACAAAAATACCCTCAGATAAGTTTTTTTCCTCAAATGAAGCACTTCCATTTTTTAGAATAATTTAACACGGAAGTCAACTACTCCGTATAATTTAACACTTTTTTATTTTTATACTTAGTCAAAATTGGAACTCTTTTTGAAAACAAAAGGAGTATATTTTTAATCTATAGTTTTATACTCCCTCCGTCCCAAAAAGTTTGTCCCGTTTCGAAAAATTTGCGTTCCTTAAAGTCCGTCTCATTTCTATTAAAAAACCACTTTTGCCCCTTACTTTTTCATACCATACCTATCACATCATACCTTTTTCCTAATAATCTACCCATCACATCAAGGATATTTTTGAAAAATCAACACAAAATTATCCCTTCTTATTTTACCACTTTAGTCAAAATGTCTCAATCTTTTTGGGACGGAGGGAGTAATAGTAATATGCTGTGTTTCATAGGGAGTACTCCTTCGCCGCAATGTTAAGTACTCCCGCTGTCCTAAAAAGAATTACAATCTTCAATATTTTAAAGTTAGATTACAAAACTTTTTGTTTATTTGTGGATTTTGTTTGATTATTTAATAAAACAAAATATTCTTATCATTTCTTGTTTTGTAAAACTCTTGATGTAGTTTTTAAATATGTAATTTTATTTTTAATTTCTATGTCAATTTTAGAATAACATTAATTAAAACAACTTAAAAATCTACTTCGTTTTACATAAAGTGTGAAATATTTTGGAGGGAGGAAGCATAAATTTTTTGAGTCATCCCTATGTATTTGCCACTCTTGACTTGAGAAAAACAAAGGACATTGACTTATTTGCCCCTACCCAATACTCTTGATTTATGTGTCAAATAAAAATGAGTACTCGTATATAATATGTTACCTTCTGTGCATACGACTCAGTACTAACATTTATTTATACCATATATAATTGAAATTATTAACGCTTAAATTTTAAATTAATAATCATTATTGTGTATATATGTTTGTGAGTGTTTGATTCGATCCATGTTTGGTACCAGAATCAATGGTGTAGTGTTTTTGCCGGCGTTGTTTCAAGAGCGTTAACCTTGGAGGTCTTGTCCACCGGAGTTGCCGGCAATTACAACGGCGCACTTCAAACGGTATTTTATTTACTCGGGTATTAATAAATTAATTACCTAATAAGCAATAATTAACCAGTAATGTTGTGATGATGAGTACTTTTTCTTCTTTGCGCCAAGTTAATTAATGGTGTGATTATATATATATATTTTTAGATGACTGCTGAGTTTCAAGTTCCTTCCCCGTTCGTCCCGACTAGAGAAAATTATTTTCTGAGATACTGCAAGCAACACGGAGACGGTACGTGGGCCGTGGTTGACGTTTCTTTGGACACCCTGCGGCCTTCTTCCATCACTCGGTGCAGAAGAAGGCCGTCTGGTTGTCTCATCCAAGAATTACCCAACGGTTACTCTAAGGTAAATATGTAAATTAATTTACACTATAGTTTAGTGTACCAAAAAGTTATTAATTAGGGTCTTTATTGAACAATAAATCCAATAAAATGTCACAAGTAGAGTCTCAATATACACTAACATTTTGTGTGTGTGAAGGTGACATGGATTGAGCATGTTGAGGTGGACGATCGGGCGGTCCATAACATTTACAAACCGCTAGTGAACTCGGGCCTCGCGTTCGGGGCTAAACATTGGGTGTCCACTCTGGACCGGCAATGCGAACGGCTCGCGAGCGCAATGGCGAACAACATTCAACCCGGTGAAGTTGGGGGTATGCATGCATACATACAATAATCATCCCTCTTTTATGGATTATGTCAAAAATGTTCATACTCCAAGTGTGACCCTGACACTGACTATACCTTCTTAAAGACACTTATAAGAAGTGAATCGTGAGTGTCGAGTCGCGTCACACTTGGAGTATCGATTTAAGTATCTGTCGTTAGAGAAAGGGTAACGGAAAAAAATGAACATTTTGTAGTGATAACGAGCGCGGAGGGGAGGAAGAGCATGCTGAAGCTGGCGGAGAGAATGGTGATGAGCTTTTGCGGCGGGGTAGGGGCCTCCACGGCGCATACGTGGACGACCCTATCGGGGAGCGGAACGGATGATGTCCGGGTCATGACCAGAAAGAGCATCGATGACCCGGGCAGGCCTCCGGGCATCGTTCTCAGCGCTGCCACCTCTTTCTGGCTCCCCGTTCCCCCAAAGAGAGTCTTCGATTTCCTTCGCGACGAAAACTCCCGAAACCAGGTGACACGACGACATTTTTTCAAATATATATTCGGGCATTTGTTTCATAATACTCCGTATTATGAAACGAATGGAGCATTAAAAATGTAAATTTCTGCTTGCTTTAATTTAATTAATTGGGTTTTTTTATTATTATATTGTTTGCAGTGGGATATTCTTTCCAATGGTGGATTAGTTCAAGAAATGGCTCATATAGCAAACGGTCGTGACCCTGGGAATTGCGTCTCTCTCTTGCGAGTTAACGTAAGAATATAATGTGTTACAATTAATTAATGATGTTTTACTACATTAGATTAGTGATAATAAAACTGTATCAAAATACAGGTAGAAAATATTAAATGTTTAAAAGAATAATAGAAACCACCAACTCATTTTGTTTCGAAATTGAATTATAAGTTGCATTATTTAATGTGTACCATTTATATATAAATACCACAGAGTGCCAATTCAAGCCAGAGCAACATGTTGATCCTCCAAGAGAGCTGCGTCGACCCGACCGGGTCCTACGTGATTTACGCTCCGGTCGACATCGTGGCCATGAACGTCGTCCTGAGCGGCGGGGACCCCGACTACGTCGCCCTCCTTCCCTCGGGATTCGCCATCCTCCCCGACGGGGCGGCGAGTCCCGAGGCGGGCCCGCATCCCGGCGGCGGCGGGTCCCTCCTCACGGTCGCGTTTCAGATTTTGGTCGATTCGGTCCCGACCGCGAAGCTCTCTCTCGGGTCCGTCGCCACCGTCAACAGCCTCATTAAGTGCACCGTCGAGAGGATCAGAGGCGCCGTGGCATGTGACACCGCTTGATTTGGTAAGAAAGTAAGTGGTATGGAAATGCTCTTATATTTTTATCCCATAATAAAAAGAGTTTTTTTGGGTGCCCAAAAAGGGTTTTAATTGAACAAAAGGGTTCATTCTCACAAAATATGATATTTTATGCCCCACAAGTTGGTAAAAATTAGTTAAACGGCTAAACCAACAAATACATTTGAATATAAAACTATGTTTCATGATTTTGAGTAATATTTTACTGAAACTAGTTATAGTCTTAATTACATTTTCCAGACATGCCTTTTTCCAAGGAGAAAATGAATTTTTTTGAACATGAATTAAACAAAAATTATAGAATAAATTCTAGAAATAGACTTATGCAATTAATCATGACATACACATTTGGTCAATTACTTCAATTAATGAAATTTCGTTGAATGTCTAAATTGAAAAGATTTTCCAGTTTTAGTCTCTTGTGTCATTAAAATCTTGAACATTGTTGCATTTAGTTTTTTATAAGTGTAGTTTTTGATGACCTTTGATGAAGGGAGGACTAAAATGACAATGTTTACAATTAGAGTTGCCAGATTTTCAATGAAATTCCATAAAGTAATAGACTAAATGGGGAATATTTCCAAATATGAAGGAGTATTTATGAAATTTACTCAAAAATATACTCCCTCCGTTTCTCAAAACAATTCCTCTTTTACTTTTTTTGTTTAAACAAAACACTTCTAATTTAACAAAAAATGACTAATATATTCAAATAAAGTCATTACAATCTATTCCATTCATTTTGCATTGATATAACAAGATATTTAAATGAGCTATCTCTTTTTTCTTGGATGTTAAAAATATAATTCGAGAGTCAATTTACGAAAAAAATCTTGCAGAAATCAAAATAGGAACTGTTTTACCAATCGGAGAGAATGTATCAATTTATTAACACAATTTAAAATGTTTTGAAAATACTTTTGCAAGATAAGTATAATAATTTCATTCTTATATTAAAAGGCAAAACAAATTTTCTTTAATTGATAATTGAAGCTTCTCAATTAGATTGAGGGAAAAAAACTTACTCCGTAAAAGGAAGATAAATTACAATTGTTTAGTTTTGTCATTACTCCGTAAAAGGAAGATAAAACTTACTCCGTAAAAGGAAAAATTTTCTTCAATTGTTTAGTTTTGTCATTACTATAGGCTTGTGTGAAAGGAAGATAAATTACAGTACTATATAGTGAGGCAACCAAAAAGAAATCAAAGCTAACCTTTTTCTCTAACAGTGCAGTAGGCCATGATGGAGAAGTGTGAAAAGAAGAAGTCAAGAACGCACCGTACATAAATGTATGCTTTGTAGTCCTTGCACTGTGGTGTTTTGTTGGGGTAAAAAATTCGTTTAAGGGCATTACACCACGCTGCAAGGATTACGGTTCGGGTATTGACTTCAATTTGTAGTACGCCGTTAGTAAGTAATTCGTCGTCGTGACATTGTAAGTGTTTGAATTAGTAAAAACACCGTTATCTGAGACGTTAATTGATACTTACTCTGTCTTCTTGGATTGTAAGATCTTGTCATCTTCTCCAAAACATTCTTGACTTTTTGGAAGGTTAAATATATGTATAGGGTTTTAGGGCCTATTTTTGTTTGTTTGTGTTTTGAATATGATTAAACCTGGTTTAATTTGCTATGGGCCTTATAGTTGATGTTTCATCAAGTAGTTGTGAAGTTTAATGTGCATCTTATAAGTTGCATCGTTCCGTTGACACTGGCTAAATGTGCTACTATCGCTATCAGACATTTGGAGGGGGGTTTGGGAGGTGGGGTGGGGGTTTAGGGAGGATTGGAGAGGACGAGGGTAGAAATCATTAATTTTGCGAATGAAGAATCGGAGGTTAAAATTGTAGTTATAAATAGTGAGCCTATGTGCAATCATAGCATTCATTTCTAGATGGTATCAGAGTAGGTTTTGGTCCACCTCATTTGGCAAGATGTTCATCTAGGCGTTCATTGAAGTACGCATGTAGAGCAAAGTTTCGCACATGCTATAATTATAACAAATAATACTCCTATATTAACATATACTGATAATTGTGATTAAAACATTGGGGATTTTTCTTGTTTATTTTGGTCTTAGAATTTTGCAAGAACTTGTGTTAAGTGTAGTGGAAAGATAAATACACCACAAAATGACAAAACTTATCAAGGCTTGTGGGAGGAATAAGCCCATTAATAATCTTTTTCTTGTTCAATTAATATTTAAGACCATGCTCTTTTGGATTGAAATTCAGAATTTGATATTGAAAGAAATTGGCTGAAATTGAAAGAAATTGAAATGAATTAGAAAATATTGAAACATTTTAAGTGTTAAAAAGTTTCTGAATTAAGTAATCACCTAAATAAATATGTAAAAAACTATAATTTTAGATTAAAAAAAATGCATCTTTGTCTGTGTTTGAGGTGATATATTCGGAGTAATGAGTATATAATGTTATTGTTTATTTATCGTATATAAATACTTTTTTTGCGATAACCGGTAAATAATACTCCCTCCGTCCCAAAAAGTCCGACACGTTTCGAAAAAACTACGTCTCATAAAGTCTGTTACATTTCTATTAAAAAACCACTTTTACCCCTTACTTTTTCATATCCTACCTATCACATCATACCTTTTTTCTAATAATCTACCCATCACATCCTACTTTTACACATCACATCAAAGGTATTTTTGGAAAGTTAACACCAAAATATCATTCCCTTAATTTCCCAAAAAGTCAATATGTATCAATCTTTTTGGGATGGAGGGAGTATTAAAGAAGAAACAATGAACAAATACAACGGGCATACCCGTGAGCAAGGGAAGGCCGTAGCCACCCTAAAGTCAAACAGATAAAACAAGATCACAAGGCACGCAGGCCAAACCAACCAAGGAGTACACAGGCACGCATGCCAAGCTAAAAATCAATACATGCATAGGGCCAAAGGTGCCCAAGGATATAGTGTAAGCCATAACTTTGATTTTACATACAATGGACATAATATCAAATGACTTACGATCAAAAGAGACCTCATTCCGAACTTTCCAAACCATGAAAGTGGTGCAGGCAAAGGCAAACTTCCGCATCTTCTTCTTTGCAGCGTCTCCCTTCCTGTATGTGCGTAACCAATGGAGGGCTCTGTCCAAAGTGGTCAGCTGAGCTTCAACACCCACTCAAGTACAAATATATCTCCAAATCTGTCCAGTGAGAGTACACTCAAAGTACAGATGGCTTGTGGTTTCCAAACCGACACCACAAAGGAAAATACTTTTTAAAATTATTGGAAGCAACCGGAAGAAGTTAGGGGAAAACTAAGAGTTGGAAAAAAATTGAAAACTTATTTTTTCAACTCAAAATAACATGATCTAAATATAATTAGTACGAGGTAGTATATTATTCTTACCATTGGTGGCATATATTCTTACTTAAATGTGTCATTGTGGGTAACAGGAAGTGAGAAAGGTATATTCTCCGTTTATTTTGCGTCTTGCTTAATGATGATGGTTTATTTTTCTGTGTGCGACAACACATGTGCATATCAAAAGTTCCAAAATTGTTGGCACATATTTGAGCTATAAAATTTCATTTTTTATTTTTCGTGCAAAAAGAAATAAAATGTTTAATTTGTGACGAAGAAATTGTGAATGAAGATTTTTTCTACATAGTACTAAAATATAGAAATCCTCAATGTAGTAGCATAATTTTTAATTTTTCAATGTAGTATCACCATCGACGACGATTGCAGTAGGGGGCGTCGCTGTCGGCAGCATGCTAATGTGAAGTTGGCCGATTTTTTTTAGTTTTGGACTTGGCCGCCACTGGCAGATCTATTGCTAAGCTAAGGGGGTAAAACTTAAAAGTGGTGATCTATTTGCATTTGTGGATCTATTGGCTGCGTGTGGGGAGCATTTTTTTTATTTTATTAATTAAGTTAATTACTCCTATTTAGATGAGTTTAAGTTTGAACTCCTATTTTGAGGATATGACATACCTTTTACTCCTAGTTTGGTCCTTCTCCCTACAATATAGACAAATGCAAAACTTTCATTTGGCAAATCAAATGAAAAAAGTTTCCAACTCAATACTAATAATAATAACAATAAAAATAATAATAAAACCCAGAAACTACCCAATTCATAAAAAAACATAAAGATCTACCCCAAATCCCAAATGAAATAGAAACAATTAGTAACATACACATTTACGCAATCAAGAATCCCAGATTAATAAATACTAAATTGGAGGGAAAAAGTGCTGGAAGGATAGATATGGTGTACTAAGATACTCCGCATTTACCTTGGAGAGTTGGAATTCGGAAATGGACGCTGGAAATTTGGATTCGTTTACTGCAGTCACCGGTCCGGATCGATTGCGGGTGAAAAAGGTAAAAAATTATTGTAGGCTAGTAGCTATTGACAATTTGACATGCGAATTACCAAGTTTTGACCCCATTTTTACCTCAATGCCCTTACAAAACAGACAACAATATCAAACCAAATTACCAAACCAAGTTTGACATGCGAATTACCAAGTTTGACCCCATGAAGTGAAGGAGCCATTTATTGTTGCTCACAACATGATCCTAGCCCATGCTTTCGCTGCCTATCAATATTTACATAAAATATTATATCGCGTGCCAAAGAACCTTCTAGTTTAATGTCACCGTTATGACTCTCCCAAATAAGAGATCACGTATTCGATCCTTAGTCTTGGAATAATTTTTACGAACTTTAATAAGTTGACAATGTATGAACAGATACTACGTTTTAATAAGTAAATACTGTTCAAACAAAATTGTTATGTTGCCTTTAGTACCTTCTAATATACCTATCATGAGCCTCTAGTATCTTGTTTTCCCTTTATAAACAGCTAGAGGCAATGCAAAAAAATTACATTAGGAAAATAATGACATCAACTCTAGAAGGATCAAGAATGGATGTGCAGATCAACAAATCATTTCTTATAACTTTTTAAAGTTCCAATATAGTCGGTATTAGAGGTGAACAAGTATCAAATCGATTCTTAAATTTTTCAATGAGCTTGAGAAAGCCAAGTTGAAAAATATACCAAATATCAAGAAGCATTTATGTCAAGAAACCAATTCAACCAAAAGCTCAAACTTGTGGTTGTGGCACAGGAATGATTGTTATATACTCTAACACGCCCCCTCACGTGCAGGCGTGACTTCTTTGAGCCTTGCACGTGAAACCTTAATTTTTTTTTAAACTGGGTGGCGGTGAGTTTCGAACTCGTGACCTCTTGGTCATCAAGGCTCCGATACCATGTCAAGAAACCAATTCAACCAAAAGCTCAAGCTTGTGGTTGTGGCCCAGGAATGATTGTTATATACTCTAACAATTTAAAATACCAATCTGTTTGTTCTAAAACTAACTTTTCATTGCATTTTATGATGTTTGACTGTATTTGTGTTTAATTTAATTTATTAGAAAATTGGTGTAAAATTTTGAAATAATGTTTATATATTTAAAACAACATAAACATATTTACGAAATTAGAAGTGATATTGTTATATTTTTATCAAATAAACAACGAAAATAAGTCAATAGAATAGAAAAAGTTTGACCCAGTAAACAACGAACGAGAAGTTAATTTGTGAACTAAACAAAAGAATTATGTGGGTAAACAATTTCTCTCTCATCCCATTAAAATAATTTTTTTCGCTTTCTAATACTTTTCCAGATTCTGTGAAAAGTTTAAACTCTAAGGGTCCGTTTGGTATACGAAATTGATGGAATTGGAATTGAATTAGAATTAAAATTTCATGGGATTCAATTCCATAGAATTGAATTCACCAATTCCAATTCATATTTTGCACTATCAGTTCCAAATCTACATAATTTTTGTGCTACCAAACACCAGAATTGAGATTGAAATCCTCAATTCCAATTACATAGTTTAAATTTCGTGTACCAAACGGGGCCTAAAGGACTAGTAATTGTTAATTTCTAAATATACACAAAGACGGGAAAATGTAGCATTACTCTTTTCAGCTTTCATGCTTCTGGAAAGAAAAATGCTAGGAGTACACCAAAGGTGTACCCCATATGTTCCCACCCCCTCCTTGTCCACAAAAAAAGGCAAGAGAATTCAAAAAAAAAAAAAAATAAAAATTAAATAAAATGTATGTTGGAGAAGAGAGTTGTGTACATTTGCTGTACCTCTACCATTGTTCTCCCGGAAATGGAAAAAAAAATCCCAAATTACATAAAGACGGGAACGGCGGGTCAAACGGACAAAGCAATCCTAAATTTTTTTCTACAGCGTAGATTTTACCCACCAAGAATTTGACTGTGAACAGTTTCCAACACTCCCAAATTATATTTTCTCAAATGGGATAATAGAGTCACTGGGAAACCACAAGAATCCTCCAAAAGTAATAAAAACACTTTTAAAAAATAAATAGAAAAAATTAATGGCGATTGGCAAAAATGCTGAATCTGGGCAAGTTCTTCTTCTGCTGCTGCTCATAGTTTTACCTCTTTTGGTGTCATCTCGCAGCTATAATTTTAACAATAATAGTAATAATAATAATGTTCTAACAGAGAACTTAAAGGATATTTCTTCTTCTTCTTCTTCTTCCCCATTTCCACCAAACTTCTTCTTTGGGACATCTTCCTCTGCTTATCAGGTTTCTCTATTTTCTCCTCTAATTTTCTTCGCTTTTACCTCTAATTATTATGATTATTGTGGTTATTTGTTAGTTGTTTTTTTAGTATTATTACCTGCTGATGAAGGAAGAACAGAGAATCAACGGGTGGCTCGTTGTTGTTGTGGCTAGTGTTTTTATTAGGGATTTGGAAATGCTAAAACTTTAAATTAGGTTTTGTTTCTGTAGTTGTCCTCCTAATTATTTCTTTCAATTTCTCTCTTTTTTTTTTTGGATCTGCTACTGTTATTAAAAAGTCAGAATTTTGTTTATGACCTTTTTATTTATAGGATAGAATAATGTTTTTTCACTTGAGGATTCTTGACACTATGGTTGCCTGGTTGGTTCAAGAATTTGGATGAAAAAAGAAGAGAAATGATCTTCTCACTTTTTCCTCACCAAGACGTCAGAAATTTTGTTTTCCCTTCTCATTTCAAGAAAAATTGTTTTAACCCAACATAGTGTGAATCTTTGATGCAGTATGAAGGGGCATATGGTAGAGGTATAAGCAACTGGGATGTTTTAACCCAAACACCAGGTGATTCTCTCAGCCTTTAATAGCATTAAGCTCTTTTTTTTTTTTTACTGTTTTGTCTTTGTTTTTACTCTCTGATACTAGGAGAATTACATGCATGCATTCTTATTAGAGAAAAATGTTAAGGTCCAGTTTGGCAACCGGTCAAACTGGGACAGAATTGTTTGGTAATTTGTTTTGCTCATTTTCATCAATTAATAAATGTACAACTTTAATATGAATTGAAAACTTTAGTCTATTAGTATTCACTAACATAAATGTGTCTGTAAAACCATACGGAATATAAAGAATGCTAAATGCTACAGGAGGCATTATAGATGGAAGCAATGGAGATGTTGCTGATGATGAATACCATCTGTATCAGGTACCAATGTATCACTATACAATATGAAAGCATGCCACCTGGTCTATTTGTGTTCCTACGTTACTTCATTGGGCCGGCTTGCAAATGGACCAGGTGTCATATTATGACATTGGGGTTGGATGGAAAAAGAACCGGGTTCGTGCATAATATATGTTTATAACCAATATTGTAATGGGACGAATAAGTTATACTACCCAATGACAGTTATCATACACTAATGAGCTAAGTTTAAACAACTCCCATCTTCATTTTTGTGTCTTTGTCCTTGAAAATAGGAAGACGTGGAACTATTGGCATCTCTCGGAGTTAACAGTCACAAGATTTCAATCTCATGGTCTCGCGTCCTGCCAAGTTAGTCTTAAACTGTTCACATCAAACAAATAACAAAATAGAAACTACTCCGTAGTATATATAGTGTTGGGTTACTCCTCTTAACATGTTGACACCTTTTAAGTTTTGATATGATATCAGCTATGCATTTGAGTTGTAACAACTGTTTGTTAATGCAGAGGGAAGACACGGAAGCATTAATTGGAAAGGGATCAACTACTACAAGAATCTCATCAATGCCCTCCTGCTTAAAGGTTTTTGTACCATTGTTAGTCTCTGTTTATAGTTGGTCAATGGTCAAGAATTAACATTCTTTACACTGGGGCAGGAATCGAACCATTTGTAACAATAAACCACTATGATCTCCCTCAAGAACTGGAGGATAGATATCAAGGTTGGCTAAGCCCCGAGTTGCAGTAAGTTATAGTTTTTTCTTTATCCAATGTCACAAAACTGTTTTGAATGTCTCCCAGCTTTAAACTAAAGAATCCCTTTTCCAGGGAAGAATATACATATTTTGCAGAGGTTTGCTTCAAGAATCTTGGGGATCGCGTTAAGTACTGGGTTACCTTCAATGAACCGAATGCGTTTGCACTCTTGGCTTATCGTGATGGCATTTGGCCACCTAATCGGTGTTCAGAACCACATGGAAACTGTAGTCAAGGAGATTCTGCGACGGAGCCATTCATTGCAGGCCACAATATGATTCTAGCCCATGCCTCTGCTGTCAATATTTACAGAAACAGTTACCAGGTAGTTCAGTTTTTCCATTTCAGTCAAGGCCTCATGGATTTGTTTTTTTGGTCTAAATTCTTCAAATCCTATGGACTACGATGTGGGGATTGTGTTTGTTCTCCCAACATATTCTTTCCTGCTTAGCCCGGCCTAAGCACTTAGATCCCATGCTTTAACCCTCTAAAATTATTATTCCAGAAAGTGCAAGGAGGGCAGATAGGAATTGCTTTGCTTTTTTACTGGTATGTACCGATAACCAACTCCACTGCAGACAAAGCAGCAGCTGAAAGAGGTCAATCCTTCTCGACAAACTGGTAAAGTTTCCATAACTTTAGTACTATGTTTGGTTCAAGGAATTCGTAAGAAAAAGAAAAGAAAATGGTTTTCTCTCATTTTTCTCACCAAAATGAGAGGAATTTGATTTTCCATCCTCTTGTATTCTAACAGTTATGGCATATCTCATGCATTACAGGTTCTTGGATCCAATCATATATGGAACATATCCCCAAGCAATGAAGGATCTTTTAGGGCCAGTCTTACCCGAATTTTCAAGCTCCGATTTGGAAAAGCTGAAAGCCGGGATAGATTTTATCGGGGTCAACCACTACACAACCTATTATGTCCAAGATTGCTTATCTTCTAAATGTGAACCTTCCATGTCGGGAAACACCCGAGAAGAAGGCTATGTTGGGCATAGCATGTCAAAGGATGGCGTCCTTATTGGTGAGCTGGTAAGTCGAGTTAAGTTGTTGACATGCTTTTTTTACCCATTTCCATGAGAAGACGGCTACACTTGGGTAACATTTGGTCAATAGCAAGGGCAGGTCCTATAACATCTAGGGCCTATAACGTTTGTGAGCTGGAGGTCTCTTGAAAACAGTCTCTCTTATTGTTGTACCCTATATCACCACCATTAACCTCTGAAGAATGTGCATTGACTTTTGCAGACGGGGTTGAGTTATCTAGATGTTTATCCCCTGGGAATGGAGAAAGTTGTTACCTATGTGCATGAAAAATTCCCAAATTTACCACTCTATGTAACTGAAAATGGTAAGATTTCATTTCCTTCTCGCGGGTTTTGTTTTTTATTCCTATTTTGGAATATTTCTCAACTGGCGTGTCAAATGTTAATTAAGAAAGTTCAACATTTTACAGGTTATTGTGACACAACCACTCCAAGTTCTAGCATTGAAGAAGTTCTTAATGATACAAAGCGGGTCAAATTCTTGGCCGATTATCTACACGCATTAGGAACTGCCATTAGGTATAATACTCTGTAATAAATAAATTCCCCTTCACTTAGACTGCATTAGATTAAAAAGTACTCTGTCCAAAATTAAGTCCCATTTTCCACTTCTGGTTGTCCCAACATAAACTTTCAGTTTCTTCTTTGGCAGGCACCTTTTATTTAAGAAAAATATCTTTTTGCCCTCAATAATCTACATACCCCCTACCTTTATACATATTCACTACTCTTTTCGTTGAATATTCTACATTTTCATTACCTCTTACATTACTTTCATTAACAATATGTGCCTATTTTCATGCTATGACAAATGAATGGTCAGGAAAGGAGCAGATGTGAGAGGGTATTTTGTTTGGTCATTCTTGGACAACTTTGAGTGGACATACGGATACACGAAACGGATGGGGCTATACTATGTTGACCGTGTCACGCTAAAGAGAACCCCGAAGCTATCGGCACATTGGTACAAGCACTTCATTGCTGAAAACCTGCTGAAAGAGTCTAAGGCAAAATTCTGAAGATAAATATGGTCTTGGATTTCGTGTCGTCGTATACCATGTAGAATTGTGAGATCTCAAACCCAAAACTCATATTCTTATACTCTATATATTACAAACTGTGAATTGTTATCTAAAATAAACATCCTGAAGGAGAACTTGAACTCTGTAATCACAGTCTAACCATTCATATATGAGCTACTTTCAATAATATAGTCATATATTATCTCTTATTTGTGAGATTTTTGTGTAATTTTTAGAAGGAGATTGTAAAATCACCCCAATAAAAATGACACCAATTCGTGACACCAGTTCAATTGGAGCACTGTAGGCGTTTCGATTGAACTGGTATCAGTATCACGATGTTACACCACTAAACATGCTCTCATTTTTAAATATATAAATTTGATTATTAAATTTTATACCAATTATTAAATGAATTGAATGAAAAAGCAATTAGACATTGTAAATCGTACTGTATACTTTCAATTGTTTCAATTGAGATGGATGAAATATATGTTAATGCATAGAAATGATTAATTATTGATAAACTCTTTAATACGGAGTAATGGAATTTGTACTGCAAATATACTTGAAGAATTATACTCTCTTCGTCCCACAAAATCTTTTTAGTTTTGACTTTTAAAGGATTTTAGTGGGTGTATTTTGGTGTTGGTTTTCCAAAAATGTCTTTGATATGATGGGTAAAATAAGATGAGATAGGTAGGTTAATAGAGAAAAAGTATGATATGGTAGGTATGTTAAGAATTAGTAGGGGTAAAAAAGAAATGAGAAAGGTTTTTTGAGACGGATGAAAAAAGAAAAGGATAAAGATTTTGTGGGACGGAAGGAGTAGTTCATACGGAGTAAACACATTACTCCGTACTATATATATGTCACAACCCACAAAAATATTTTTTTGAAATTATATGTTGACATGATTGACATTGTATATGCATTTTAACTCTTATTTTTTTGAATAAAAAATAAAAAAAAAAATCCATAGATAAGAGTAAAAAAGTATGAAAATATAAAAATAAGAGTCCTAAATTTTTAAAGATCAAAGTATAATGATATTGTGGTGTAGGAGTACGCGTTAACAGTGTGATGGAAAAGTGATGACCGTTTGATATATCAATGTGATCAATCAACCATTAGCGATCCATGTACACTGAAAATATACCAAAATAGGACTAAAACATTGAAAATATACCAAAATAGGACTTCCATGTTTTTATTCTCGAAATGAACTTACATTACCAAACATGGTCATATACATTACCAAGAAAGTATAGTAATTTGTACGTGTACACTGCCACATTACTACAATGCAAAGTCACATTACCACTGTGAAAAGTCCTATTTTGGAAAAAAAACATGAAAGTCCTATTTTGGTACTTTTCTCTATGTTTTAGTCCTATTTAGGATGATTTCTATAAACTTATTTTTTCTGATCTGATCTAATTTTTTTTAGTTCTTATCTGATCTGAATAGACCAGAATTTGATCTAATCTGATCTGATTGGATCTGAGCTGATCTGAACAGTTTCGATCTGATATGATCTGATCTAGTCTAATCTGATTAATTATGATTTGATTTAAAATTCAATTAAAAAATTTGATTTGACTTTATAATAACGTTTTGAAAATTGTAATGACAATTCATATTATAATATAATCAATATTTTTTATTTTATAATTATTTTTTAATGAAAAAAATAGTTAATTCATATATAATAATAATCATTCATATTATAATGTAATTATATTTTTTATTTTATGATTATTTTTTTATGAAATAAAATAGATTGAAAAAAATTAGGTTTTTTCTTCGTTTTGCGCAACATAAAGAAAGAGGTGGGACGAAGGGATTATTTTCTTATCATCTTTGGTGAAAAAACTTTTCACTTGGTCTCGTAACATTGTTCTTTATTTTATTTCCTTCCATTTGTTTAAATATGCAAACAAGTAAATTTACATTGGTTTCTGTGTTTTCTAACATAACATTTTCATTTTCTCTGTTTTCTCACTATCGAAACACAATATAAAGATTTGGTACAAACACAATATAAAGATTTGGTACAAATACTACAGACACAATATCGATACATATGAGGAAGTACTTAATTAATGAATAATGGTAATGTATATAGTAGCTAGTACTCTCTCCATCCCAAAATGTTTTAATATATTTTATCCAAAATCAAGGGAAATATCAAGTTTTTTTTAAAATTTATTTTATTTAAGTGTTCTTATAAAAATTTAAAATAAAACATACAAACTTAAAAAATCACACAATTTTTTTTTACCAAACAAGAGAGTATTATATAATTAATCAAAACATAACAATAAACAAAAATTTTAGTAACTTTTTAATTATTTAAGAATATAGGGAGTAGGTAATTCTTTTTGGGATGTAAGGAGCTAGCAGTACATATGCTAGAGATTTGAGCCGGGGCCGCCGGCTGCCTCTGTTATATTTTTGCAAGAGTTACGCCGCTGGCGACAGATGCAAATCACAAAAACAATAAAGACCACCGAAGTTATGACAAAACCAATAATGGCCCCTTTCCAGTCGGAGCTTTCCCGATCATCCGCTTCCGCTCCGTCGTCTGGGGCGGCGGGGATAATTACAACCCCCTTTATTACAAACTTATTTCTCACTGCTCCAACATAATTATTATTTACTGAGTTGAATAGGTATGTAGACGCACCTCAGATATAATAATATAATGACATATATATATATATATATATATATATATATATATATATACACACACACATTATATATATATATTTATATATTTATATAATTAATTAGTTTAAATACTACTCCATTACTAGCTGAATAGCGTTATTACGTACTCGCTTACACCAACCTACCTGTAAAGGATTGAATATAAAACTCGGAGATATTTGAAATCTCCATAGATCAGAGTATAATCATGAGAACCGATCGACTTTTTTGTATATCGGTGCCGTCCGACAAAATTTGCTTCTTAAAATTTGTATGAATTCTCTTCTTACTCTCACCCTCCCATAAAATCTTTCTTCTTTCGTTTTCTTTTTTTTGTTTTCCACAAAACACATCTATTTCACTAATTTTTCCTAGAATACCCCCAACCCTAAAATACTACGCATCCCACCCATCCCCACACTATTCCCGACACGCGTCCTTTCGCCTCCTAAGCGAAAGCGATGAGGGGGTGCGTCCTCCTAAGCGCAAGCGGAAGGTATATATGTTTTCCTTCCTAAAATCCTGATGCATCTTATTCTTCTGACACCGATCCGTCATGGAACTACCGGATAAAATATCTTGGGGGTGACCATCTTTCGGACGGAGTTGAGTGGAATTCAAATCTGGAAAAAGGCAATTCAAAGGATTCAGAGGTTGAGTCATTTACCCAGGGCCAGTCCTGAGAACTTGATGGCCTGGACCGAGACAGAAAAAGTGGCCCTAAAGGTCTTATTTCTAATGTCTTAACAAATTAAAGTGTATAAGTTAATTATATTTAAATGACAATTAATACAATAATATAATACTATGTAACAAAATGAATAAATAAAATACTTACCTTTCCAAACCAATGTCTTGAAAATTAAATTAGACGTCGACTCGAAGGAACTAGTAGGTCAAGGGTTAACCGGTCAAACTGAGGTCAACGGCTTGGTTAACTATAATTAAAAGAATAGTATTTTACATTTATTTGATACTCCCTCCGTCCCAAAAAGATTTACACCTTTCAAAAAAATTGCGTCCCACAATCTCCTACCCATTTCTATTAAAAAACCACTTTTACTCCTTACTTTTTCAAACCCTACCTATCACATCATACCTTTTTCCTAATAATCTACACATCACATCCTACTTTTACCCATCACATCAAGGATATTTTTGGAAAGTCAACACAAAATTATCCCTTCTTTAAGTTCAACTTTAGTCAAAACGTGTAAATCTTTTTGAGACGGAGGTAGTACAATATTTACAAAACATTAGTTTATCTAATTAACATATCATATAATTTTCGTTTTATTCAAGGTCAAAGGTCAAAACTAGTTGACTAAAAAAAGTCAAAGTATAGGGAACTTGTAAAATACTCCCTTAGGCAAGTTTTTTTTTATTAGTTGAACGCTTAAAAAGTTTTACTTTTAATAATTGAATATTTTGAGAAATTTCCATTTTTGTTTTACTTTCTAATGGAGAGATGATCTATTATTTGTTTAATTTGCAGTCAATTGTTTTTTGTTTAATTAATGATTTTATGATATTGTGATTTTATTTTGTACTCGTAATTAGGAATTCTAGATGTGGATAAATTTGATATTAGACAGGTAAGAGATTTGTTATCCTTAATTATAATATTATACTAATAATATTAATGGTATAATATCAAACCTGACATTATAATTTAATATTATAATTCATAATATCCCTGATAGTAGTGCATGCATGGTCCCTCTTTTTCCGGACAACAAATAACTTAATGTATCACTTTAAATTATTAATGAAATGTTCAATATTTAAGTCTAATAAATAATAGTTTGAAGTAATTTTTTATTGTTTTTATATTACTCCCTCCATTTCTTAAAACCCTTCCTCTGTTATTTTTTTATTTTTCTTAAAACACTTCCCTTTTCTATTAAAAAATCACTTTTACCCCTACTTTTTCATACCCTACCTATCACATCATACTTTTTCACTAATAACTAAACTATCACATCTTACTTTTACTCATCACATCAGGGACAAAATTAGAAAATCAACTAAAATTACACTTTCCTTATTTTTTTCCCAAAGTCAAAAGAGGAACCGTTTTGAGAAGCTGAAGGAGTAATTACTTAATTTAAAATAACTTTTAAAAATTAAAAATTGATGAGGAAAAAGGGGAAGGGAAGAGAAAGCTGAAATTAACGTGGAGCTGAGTTGGCGAATGAGAAAAGATTAGGGCACACCTCATGGCCTTATATAAAGGTGATGACGTCATCGTTCTTACCTCCAAAACTCATCACCCACCTCGGCGTTGCATGGGTTGGTTGTGTAGTTACGTTGCAATGCCAAAGACGCCAATAAGGGAGAGATGAAGGTGATTAAAGATTAGATTAATTAAACTTATTTAAGGGTCCGTTTGGTATACGAAATTGGAATTGAATTGGAATTGAGATTCCATGGGATTCAATTCCATAGAATTGAATTCTTCCAATTCCAATTCATTTTTAGCACTATCAATTCTAAATCCGCATAATTTTTGTGCTACCAAACACCAGAATTGGAATTGAAGTCCTCAATTCCAATTTCATAATTTGAATTCCATGTACCAAACGGGGCCTAAGAAAACTTTTAACTTTGTGATCCTATTTTAGATATAATGTTTATGTTCTGGTTCAAATTTACTTTAGCATTTTTCACACACAAAAAAATACGGATAGTGCAACTCAAAAAAAAAGTGCAGCCCACGAGGTTCAGGTTGAAGAAATACGGATAGTGTATTATTATTATTATATATACTTCTCCATCATCATCTCAACCACTTACAAGCTACTCCGTACAATAATGGGCAGTTAGTTGTTTACTTAATTCACCTTTTCCATTTATAAATGGATCTGTCTGTAATTAAGTGATTACAGAGTAAAATAATTGAAGAAGATGGAGACTTGTTCTTCTTCTTCATCTTCTTGTTCTAGAGGAGTTATAGCAGCAAAACCTGAAATCTTCTTCTCATGGCTGCTTCTGATGATATTGTTGTTGCTCTCTCCCATGGCTATGGAGTCCTCTTCGTCTTCCATTAATGAGAAGCTTAAGACTACTGCTGATCCATTATCTTCCTTCTCCCCAGACTTTCTCTTTGGGACTTCTTCCTCTGCTTACCAGGCATGCATGCATCCACCTATTTAATTATGATGGTGTTTCTCTGTGTTTGTGTTTATTGATTTATTGCTAATAATAGATGCGTCATGTTGGGATATTCATCATAAACGATGAGGGATAGCTTTGTAAATAATCTGATCAAAATAGATAAACGAAAAAGCTGACTTAAAAATGAGTAGGTAAAACCTACTTTTTATTTGACATATAAGCAACTTATAAATCACCTTATAAACACTGAGAAACAAGTGCCTCATGAGCTGATTTATAAGTTAAGAATAACTTATAAGTTGTTTTGACCAGCTTATAAGAGTACAGAGAAACATCACTAAATTTTTCTTTTTTTGTACAAGTGGGTTAGCTAAGGAGTAGTTTTAATTTCTTCACAAGCTTTAACTCTTGAGGAATTAAAAGTATGATACTAAATTTGAATGATTGCAGTTTGAAGGGGGTTATTTAGCTAAGGAGAGGGGTCAAGATATTTGGGATGTTTACACTCATAAACAAGGTGAGTTATTGTTACTCAATTATAGTTATTGTTATTTCAGATTCATATTAACTTTATCATGTGTTTTTGTCCAATTTAACTTATTTAATTAATTTGGATAAACTTTGATCCCCAATTAAATAAAAGTTATTGTATTTTATAAATTAATATAATGAAATATATTAATAGAGTATGAAATCCAACTATGACTATCGTGGTTGACTAAAACAATCAAACTGTATAAATATAATACCATGTAGGTAATATCATTGATGGAAGCAACGGAGACGTGGCAAATGATCAATATCATCGTTACAAGGTAATTTATATTCTTCGATAAGTAACGTACATTGGCATTTTTTGTACAAATGTTGTCACATTTACTCGAATGATTATTTTGTTTTTTGGGTTATAAAATGGTAAATATGTGTTTGTGACACTTTGACCCCGGTTGTCAACAAGTTTTTTTAAAGATTTTTGTTCAAAAAGTACTCTCAAGTCTCATCTGTCCCCTAATTAATTTATATGGTATTTTCCGTCTTTTCCCATTACAAACCTCTTCTCATTACCCTAAAAAAAACTCTTTTTGAAAAAAGAAAAAAAAGAAAAAGTTGTCTGTCAACCAAGGTGACAACTAGAGTGTGTTCCATCATCATGTGAGTATGTGATTAAACCAATATTAGTATGATTTGGTGATATGTATGTGTTAGGATTATGCTAGGGAATCCACCACGAATGCCCACACGGATGGCAATCCCAGAAGATTTATACATATAAATCTTCTATGATTATCATCGGTGGGGCACTCGTGATTGGGTTCTTAGCATTTTTGGTATGTGTTATTGTTGCAATCCACAGGAAGATGCAGACATATTGGCTTCACTTGGAGTAAATAGTCACAAACTTTCAATTTTATGGGCTCGAATCCTACCAAGTTTGTCACATTTCTTATTTGGTTTTGATTTTTTCAATTCTTAAATTTTTTTTTAAAAAAATTGTAAATCATCATTGAGTTATATTTTTTAATGTAACATTTGTTCATCATTAATTACAGAAGGAAGACATGGGAAAATAAATTGGTCTGGAATCAACTACTATAAAAAAGTCATTAATTCTCTCTTGCGAAGAGGTATGCTGCTCTGTGTATATATCCATTTGACAACAATTTTAGTGCAGTGCTTGAAGTTTTAGCTTTGAACTTCTTAATCTTAACAGTTCATTAAACAGTAGCATTAAGATTTACTTGGTAACATCTTTAAAATTAATTAGACTCATTAAAAAATTATCCAAAATGTTAATAAGACTAGCAAAAAAAAGTTGTTACCAAACATGGGTTTTATATGATATTGAAATGAGTGTTATTAAAACCGGACTGAACCAACCATCCAGGTAAAACTGAAGACCAAACTGAACACCAATCGGTTCGGTCCAACTCTTCAAAACCCCTGGTTGACTCAAGAAAATCTGAGAATCCGCTGGCATGGCGATTTCTTAGCCATTGCGAGTTTAATAGCATTGGTAAAATTGGGCTGTTCGAAGATCCAAACCTCTCCACGGGGTTTAAGTCTGAAAACAGGCGTTTGGGTACAAATTTACAGCATGATGTTGAAATAGATTTAGAAACTTTTCGTTAACTTTAACATTTAGTTAATTTAAATTACCTTTAAATTAGTCTAAAAAATTACTCCATACTTGTCAAAAGTACAAAGTAGAGGACTAGGAGCTAGGTTGTAAGGAGAGTCAAGGAGAGTAGGAATCATTTCGAAACCAAACAAAACTTCATAGGATGGCCAGATGTCATATGATGACATTCATGAGTTTTGTCAAAAGAATCTCACTTTTTGAATTTTGATGAGTTCTTTTTTCTTTAATAGGAATCCAGCCATTCGTGACTGTAAATCACTATGATCTGCCTCAAGAACTTCAGGACAAATATCAAGGTTGGTTAAGCCCAAAGTTGCGGTAAGTTAAACCAGACTTAGCCCCTTCATCATAACCTAATGGCTATGACACTTACTAAAGTCAACTCAAAATAGCCTACCCTTTTGACACCGTCCCCCCGGGCCCCATTCATCCCCCCTGCTCCCCTATAGATCGCCGATATATGCTACAATATGTACCATAGCATAACGGCGATCTAGAGGGAGCGAGAGCAGAAGGCAATGTAGGACCCTCAAATGACAGGTGTCAAAAGATCTAAGCCCATTAAACAAATTATGCAAAATTAAATGTTTGATCTATTTTTATTTTAAACCCAGGGAAGAATATGCATATTTTGCAGAAGTGTGCTTCAAGTACCTGGGTGATGGGGTGAAACATTGGATCACATTTAATGAGCCAAACATGTGGGCCTTCTTAACATATCGGACTGGGCTTTGGCCACCAAACCATTGCACACAACCATTTAACTGTACAAAAGGAGGCCCATCGGAGCTCTTCATAGTGGGCCACAACCTCATTTTAGCTCATGCTGCTGCTGTGAACATCTACAAAAACAAATACCAGGTAATGAATGGAATAGGTTGAATTTGAATGAGTGCTTTAAGAATGTTTTTTTTATTACAAGTCTTAATTTTTAAAGTGTCATGTCTCCTCACTAAAACCATTTTTTTTGTAAAGACTCATTCGTCCAAATTTTGTTGTCTACTTTTATTGTTATTATTATAGATTATTATTTGGAACACACACACACACACACATACATACATATATACACACACACACACTAACTTATTATGAGCACTTGAAATAAAACTTATTATGAATGATACAAAATGCCACTGAAAAACGTGTTATTAATATTACTCCAAAGACAATTGTGGAGTATCAAGCAAGGAATTTGAAGAAAAAAAAGATAGCAAGAATTTATAATTATGACTAAATTATTTTTCATATATTGAGATAGGATCTTTAGTTACATATCGAAATAGAACTTATAATGCCAAATAATACCAACACGTAATGATAAATAGCAATGCACAATGACAAATTGTAGCGTTTCACAATGTCAATACTCTTATTACAGGAAAAATGGGAAAAGGTTTTTGGGACACAATACTTACCGAACTGTATATGTATAGTAAAAATGTTGTTGATGAGCTTAGTAATATCATACTATTGGGTTTGTAAAATGTAGCAAGCACAAGGAGGGCAAATTGGGATATCTGTGCTTTATTATTGGTATGAGCCCTTGAGAAACACATCAGCAGATAAAGTGGCAGTTGAGAGAGCTCTTTCCTTCCTTTCAAACTGGTACCTGTGTCTCTACCCTTTTTAATTACAGTATTTTCTTTACTTTTGTTGTTAAACAATCCCTTCATAACCTTCCCGAAAGGATAAATTAATTAATCGAATTGAATTCAAACTTATTCGTATGATTTGACTCAAGCATCTTACGGTCTTGACCTGTTGGGCTTGACTCCTAAATTCATTTGGTACTGTCCCAATAACCCGTCGCACATAAAAACCGGAGATTTTCTATTGATTCTTTATTTTTGTTTTGTTCTGAATAAAAATAGGTTCTTGGACCCAATTATATATGGAAGATACCCAAAAGAAATGAAGGATATTTTAGGGTCAGATTTGCCAAAGTTCTCAAGGAGTGACTTGAAAATGTTGAATGGGGCAGGAGTTGATTTCATTGGAATCAACCATTATACCACATACTATGTTCAAGATTGCTTGTCTTCTCATTCTCACTGTGAACGAAATGGGGCTGGCAACTTCAAGATTGATGGTTTTGTTGAACAAACTCCACTCAAGAATGGCACCCTTATTGGGGAAATGGTAATTCTTTGTTCATATTTTAATAAATAAAAATTAAAGCAACCAAAATACGGAGTACAAAAACTTGAAGAAAAAAAAAGGTAATCTCAATCCTGGACAAGAGTATAATCTTATAAGGATTGAGATCTGTTTTTGGCACATATAAGGACTCCATGCTACGCATGATTGCCTTTCATGAACATTACCATCTTTTGACACTGGCCACTACACTAGTGGACTGTCACCCAAAAGAGGGGCATAGGGAGGCTGGGTGGTGTGTAAAGGCCAGGCTAGGGGTGGGGATTTGTGGAGGTTAGGGTAAGTCAGAATCACCTCGAGGGCGAATGAAGTACAGTTAGGTTCTCAAATGGGTCCAATGCCATAGTACACTATAACATTGGTGGATAGTGTTACAAAAAAAAAAACCCACTGGTATTTAAGTATGGAGTATCCATTATCATAATCATTAATGATTAACGTGTTGCATTGAAACTGTAATATGTTTAAACTTGGATGAAATTTTGCAAAATCATGAACAAATTATAATGCATTGCTTTATATCAATTTACTCTGCTTTTACAGACTGGGTTGTACTATCTAGTGGTTTATCCACGTGGGATGGAGAAAGTAATTATGTATGTGAAAGGAAGATATCCAAATACACCCCTCTACGTTACTGAAAATGGTGAGAATAATTGATTGAAATATTCATATAGTTTTTCTTCTTCAACTTTTTTTTACAATTAATGACTTTCAACCAATAACGGAGTACAAAGGCAAAAGGCTACCCCGCAACCCCGTTTTGAATAGCAAATCTGATCCGACTAAAAACAAAGTTATTGGCCTTAAGGACCAAGACATTACTATTTACAACCCACTCAACCTTGTTAAGGAACTTGGCACCCTCTAGGGCTAGGGAATCAAATGCTCAAAGGCAAATGGGATAAGCACATGTTGATTTTCAAAGCAAGCTTTCTCTTGTTTAGCCACTTTGCTTGATTCTGCCTTCATATAAATCCTTCCAGAAATTTGAGAATTTATGAGTAAACTTATAAATTCTATAATTATCACTAATGCTCTGAGAGACTTAATACTTTTATAATCATACTCCAGAGTTGTATATTGATTGAAGATCTCAAAAAATGTTGTAATCTTAGAGTATTCCTACAGAATCTTAATTTTTTTAGAAGTATTGACATGAATTTTTCTTAACTGAGTATGATATAATGATACAAATAATGAATGTGGAGTTCAATTGTAAATATAATTGAGATTGTAACAGGTTACTGCGATATTACCAATTCAAACTCGAGCATGAAAGAAATGTTGAATGATACAAAGAGAGTGAAATTCCTCAAAGATTACCTGGGATCCGTTGAAAGTGCAATACGGTATTTTTCACATTGTCCCATTATTTTTACCCACATTTACCTTTTAGTTCCTCCAGTCATATTATTTTCATACCACCAAATTATATCATACATTTGAATGCACTTACTTTCTTGTACATCCAAATGAGTAACATGTAACACATAAATGTGCATATACTAATTCTATAATTGCATGCTCAAAATATGTACAAAAAATAGAGTAATTTCATTTGCACTTTTCTACATATTAGAAGTGGAATTTAGCAACAAAATGAAAAACAGATTTTAATAACAAAATGAGTATTGTGAAATTATCAAATGTACGTATATAAAAGAATGTACTCAAAATGTGCACTAAAAAAAGTGCATATATTAATTTCAAAATGTGCATACTTACAATTATACAAAGAAATAAATGAAAGAAATGAGTATTATGCTGTTCATAAATATGCATATATCAGATGTACAATGAACACCATACATCCATATGCATAATGTAGGAACTCATCTCATACCATATTTGATCATATTGGTTTGGTTCACTATTTTTTTAAGAATCAAAGGGAGTAAAACTTTTGTTTTGAAAGTTTGGTTGACACATTTGAAGAGACAAATCAAGGGATAGTTTAAATAAGCTGTGAAACATGATTTTCAGGAAAGGAGCAGATGTGAGGGGTTACTTTATTTGGTCAATGCTGGATAACTTTGAGTGGGGATTTGGATACACAAAACATATGGGACTTTACCATGTGGATCGTGTCACACTGAAGAGAACACCAAAATTGTCAGCAAAATGGTACAAGAAATTCATCACAAAAAAAGTGAACGTGACAACAAAAAGGTTATATCATAGCCAATGAATCCCACACTAGTTTAGTTAGTGTGAGTCATGTGACACTTTGTTCGTGATTGGTCATGATAGATTTCAATAATTAGTAGATTTAATTTTGTTTTAAAGCATACTATATTTGTATCAACGCAATGCACGACAAAAAACTAATTTTAATTTATATGTAAAACTTTAATATAATGGATTGAGGAAAATAAAAGGAATTACTAGCTTTTAAAAAAACAAAAAGAATGATTACTAAGAGCACTCAGTGGTGAGGAACTACACTTTCTCTCTCCTCCACATCAATTTTTATGTATGCTCTCTCTCTCTCTGCATTTTAGTGTGAAAATTTTCCTCAATCCTGTCAAAAAAGAAAGAAAGAAAGATGTGTGCTAACGGATGAAAACTCATTAATTTGAGCTTAAAAGATTCCGCGCATAAGAAAATTCCACACTAATGGGGTTGTTCTAACTATCGAACATTGCAATGTAATAAAGATAGCAAATATAATATATTACAATTCATAAGGTTTGATAAAAAACAGAAACTAATATTCAATAATGTCTTCTAGGTTCCGAAAAACTTCTTTGTAAACAATATTAGTAGTATGATAAGACATTGTATTTTCTACGTTGCAAATCAACATTTTTAACCCTTGACAATTTGTTACACATGGAACATCAACATATAGTTGACCATGACTAAAAATAAGTTTCTTGAGTAATAAGACAACATGCGATATATATTACCCTCAACTTTTGTTAACCGACATTGTAAACGAAATTGTGATAGGAAATTGTTATCCTTGGAACTTAAATGAATCCTTGTATTTGATGGCACGAGTAAAAGTAGAGGGTTCACCACTTCAATGTGAGTTGATGGTTTGTTATATGATGCTCTTATGTTCAAAAATTCCAGAGGATGCAGGTCTAATATAAACCAACATTTGAATTGCATTTGCAAATAATTTCTGAACTCAAATAAATTTTTGACAACTCATTGACATTCATAAATGTCATGTAATCATTGATGCCATCCACAATGTCAAAGGTCGAAGCCAAGTTGACTTGATTAATGATTATGCAAATAGTTGTGATCATTTGCAATATGGTAATAGCAAGATAATTTAATGGTAATGGAAAGATGATTTATAATGGCTGTATCATTAATGGTTAGAAGATTTATAATGGATGCATTAGTAATGGTATGATAATTTATAAACAGTCAGATTGTCATTACACTAAGTGATAATGTTCCCTCTAAAGAATGGAGATAATGAAAAGGCATGAAGACTAATATTCCAGAGTTCGTTGTTCCAGGATCAAATATTTGGAATTGATTCTTCTTCATCTTCTAGTACTCACACACTCTCTATCCATAAGTAACATCTCTCTATCTTTAATTACTCCCTCCATCCATAAATAAATTTTATATTACGCGTTATGATGTTTGACTGAAGTTATTTTCCAATCATTTTATATGAAAAATGGTGTAGAATTGAAAAATAAAAATTACATATTAAAAAACTATATCAAAAGATCTACAAAACTAGAGGTGACATGACTATATTATTTTATCAAATGGGTGACGAAAATAGACCAACAAAGTGAATAAAGTTTGACCCTGTGAATAGTGAACGTAAAGTTTATTTGTGGACGGAGGGAGTATTTATCATTAAAGTATACTTTTAATCCGGTTTAATTTTCTTTAATTTGGTTCATTAGACTATTAAAGTATATTATACTCTTAATTTTTCACTTTTATTAAATTTTTAGTGACTTTATGTTCAACCTTTAAACATAATTTTTTTGGTAATGATATTTTGTCATATAAATATATTCCCTCCGTCCTTAAATAGATTACAATTTTTTTTCTCTCTCCTCTCGATAACTTTTGTTTGTTTACGCGATTTCATTAAGTATTTGATAAAATAAAATATTTTTGTCACCTCTTATTTTGTAGAACTTTTGACGTAGTTTTTTAATATGTAATTTTTATATCTTATTGATATACCAATTTGTAAATAAAATGATTTCAAAAAGTAGGAAATTTTACTCCGTAACCCGCAATTTGTAATCAAATTGGGGACGGAAGGAGTATATAGTTATCTTGGATGAATGAAGATATATATATATATATATATATATATATATATATATGTAATGTTAAAAATTTCATTACTAATTGTGATTTGTCGACTAGTCCACTAGTCTCCCCTTCACCGACTCGACTCGACTTGTCAACTTAACAACCATGGAATAAAGTGAAGTTTTTTTTGAATGTCCAAAAAAGGAAAATGTAAAGAAAAAAACTATATGGGACGAAAGCAGATTACAGTCTTGTTAAATCAAGCAATTGGGGTAATTTTTATCAAGATATTTCATCTTTTAGATCAACTAACAATTACTGCCTAGTAAGTAGTTTCAAAGGCCTATTTGAATAAGTATTATTTGAAAAAGTCTTTTTAGATCATGGCAAAAAAAAACTCCAGGGTATTATTTAAAAAAAGAAGAAAAATCAAACTGAAATTAAGAACAGCACGTTTTCACTCTTTTATCTTGATTGTGTTTTGCATTTTTGGGATTTTGTGCTTGAGAATTTGCATATTAGACATTCACAAGATCATCTGCGTCAATAACGTCTTTCTTCCCTTTCATGTTTTGGTTGTCATCAAACACATGATTGTTTGACTCAATCTAATTTAACATTAAAAAATGAAACTTCCGTTAGTAAAGATTGAATGAACATGATTAGTGTAATGTTAGAGAATAAACTGTTAGGAAATATTGAGTGAAACTAACTATGGAGGTGTTTGGCACTGCGTTGCTTTTCAGAATTTAGCTTCTATTTTAAATGGTAATCATTTTATTCTATTTGGTATACCAACTTTTGCTTTTCTTCACCATCACTTTGTACATAGAACACTATTTGGAGAAACAAATATATGGTGCTTCTACTTTCAGCATATGTGAAAATCACTTTACTCACAATTAATCACTCCCAAACACCCTCTATATGTTGAATTATCTTATTCATTCTAGATAACTTCTTCACTATTTTGGCTACTCTTCCAAATTTTCACACATATCTACCATCATACTCCCTCAGCCCATTAATATTTTTTCCCATTTCCTATTTTGGCAAAAAAAAAAATTAATGAATGTGCCATTATACCCTTACCTTTATCTACATTATTCACCTTATTTCATCACATCAAGGATAAACATGGAAAGTCTTTACACTTTTTTAATCTCTGTATCAAGTCAAAATGGGAAAAAAAATTATTGAACGGATGGAGTATCATTCTATGCTTTTAAAATGATAGGGTCAGGGATCATTGTCAAGATACCGAATGTCCTTTGCCCCCTTCAAGATAAAGAACCTAGGGGCCATTTCAAATTCACATTGAGTATTCATCATCGGCCAACAATTCTTTCAAAGTCAATGGGAAATACTTTTGAGCAGAGACCCTTCTACAAAACAAAGTATTCCAAAACAATAAGGTGAAGTTGAATACACATTAGAACTTTCATGTAGATAAACATCATATAAAAGTACCTAAATCATGTCCTCATTTAACATAGGTGATGTGTTGTGTATAAGCTATTGGCCCCTTTCCCATAAAATTATTGAAGCGTGTCCAGTTTTGTCAACATCTCAAAAATACACCTAGTACCTGCAAAACATAGTAACAATACTACTAGAAGCTTGTGATGGAAATTGAATCCATGTCGCGTACTTATAACTTTGTGGGGAATTGTGTATGGGCACCCACTACACTTGACCTAGTACCTTCTGGAATCACCTTCTTATCAAACATTATATAACCGAGATAACACCAATATATAAAGCTCTTTGTACTACCAATGGTGCAATTGACCATATGAGACTTTGCACCTATTGAGAACTCTATATCTTGTTATCTCAGTTGTACATAGTATAACACAAAAGTAATTCTGGGAGGCACTCAATTGAAGTGTGAGTGGCCAGACACAACTCCTCACAAGGTTTACATGTATATGTTCAAATTCAATCACAAGTTCCCAAAACCAAGACATAATATTGTTACTATGTTTTACATGTGAAAGATGAACTTTCAAGTTGTAGACAAAATAAGACATGCTTCAACAATTTTATGGATAATGAGGTCAATGAGCTTATAAGCAAAATAGCACTTATGCAATAGGACATGATTCAATACTTTTATATAGTGTTTAACTGTATGGAAAATAAAATACGTATTCGACTCCACCTTATGGTTTTCAAGAATTATATTTTCCAGAAAGGTTTAGACTCAAAAGTATTTCCAATTAAGTTGAAAAGTATTGTTGCCGATGAGGAATATTCTAGACGAATTTGAAAAAACCACTAGGTACTCCATCGTAGAGAGGCAGAGGACATCCGATATCTTGACAATGATCACCGACCCTAGCATTTTAGCAACATACTGTGATATTGTCGATGAGCGGAATAAGGATGATATGTGAAATGAATAAGAAGAGTTTTGCCAAATAATGAAAAAAATAATCTAAAAAGATCGAGATAATGGAGCAGATAATCAATTTCATTTAGTATTTCTTAACGTAAGCTTTATTCTTTAATGTTACTTTTCCTAAAGGATGTTTCATTCTTTAATGTTACTTTTCCTAAGTTTCATTTGTTATTAACATGAATGATCTATTGAAGCAGTGTGTAATAGACTAGTTTTCACGCACAAAATCCCAAAAAAGGCCAAGGATAGTCAAGATAGAGTGAGGAAGCGGTGTTCTTTTATTTGACACACTTTTTTGTGGAGTGTACTCTAAGAAGTTTACTACATTGGAGCACTTATTTTGAATGAAACGAAAAAGCATACAAGGTGGACTTTTGGTGCCTTTTGAGTAACATTTTATACTATATCTTTGCTACAAAAATTATTAAGTATACAATTTGTTTGGGGAAAATATGGGTGAATGCAAGACAGTTTAAACTGCCCAAAGTGTTAATAAATTTAGTGAGTTCAATGATACGAAAATGGGGACTATGGGTTTTATTTATGATAAATTAATCAGTGTATAAAAGAGAAGGGTATTTTTCATTAGTTGGTAGATGACATGCAAATCATTTTTGTTTACCCAAGAAAGTTTCCCAAAAATGAGTACACATAAGCCATCAACATTACTTATGAGGCAACAATTATTTAACAATTTTAAGGCTTTGTCTGTGTTAAAAGACAGTTGCATGTTGGAAGAAATTATAATTAGAAGAAACTGGAAGGAGTTAAAAAAAATAAAGTGTTAAAGAAACCATTAAATACAACATAGTTTATTTAAAATATTTTTAAATACGTGCTTACCCTATTTATTAAATACACCATAGTTTATTTAAAAAAATAAAGTGTTAAAGAAATCACCTTATTAAATCACCTTTTTAAATTCACCATAGCAAGGTACCTTTATATGAATAATTTTAAAAAGGCACATTACCACTTTAAAAATTCATATTAATCAAAATAAAATTCATAATTCTAAATATAAGACATGGTATTTTACACAGAGTTAAAAAACAAGGTATTACCTTAAGACTTCAAAAATTAATACATCCCATCATAAAATTGGATCGAACCTACAAAAATAAGTATTCACAATGACGTTTAATCTACATTGTTGTAAATATGTCAAAAAAATTGCATGTTATGTATTATTTTTTTATATTATATGTCAACTTACATATAAAACAATTTTAAATATTTATTAGCATGGCCGGTCCTAAGGATTCTAAGGGCCTATGTGAGATGAAAAAATGGGCACATAGCCCTAACAAATTAAATTATTTAAGGTTATTTTTTAAAAACGACAATTAGCTTTGTAGGTAAAAACATAACAAAAACATAATACATACATACACCACAGTTCATCTAACCTCATAAAAATGACTTGAAATGACTCGGGTACCTACAATGCTCTGTTTGTAAAATTGATGGTCATACATACGAACGTACCTACATACGTACATAAGTACGTGTGTGCGTTGTGCATGCGTACATACGTACGTACGTACATACGTACATAAGTACGTACATACGTACATAAGTACGTGCGTGCGTTGTGCATGTGTCGTACGTACGTACGTACGTACGTACGTACGTACGTACGTACGTACATACATACATACATACATACATACATACATACATACATACATACATACATACATACATACATACATACATACATACATACATACATACATACATACATA